GGAGATGGTGCTGCCGATGCAGGCCCGTTGCTCTTTGGTGTTACAACATTCTCTCGATTCTCCTCTGCCCCTTCACCTCCATCTTGCCTGCCAGGAGTAGCGAGACTAGTTTGACTATTGTTCATATCCGACTTGTATGTACTCGGGATCGACTTGAATCCACCGGATTGGGGCTGGAAAGCGCTCGTAGAATCCAACGTGCTGGCTCGACTACCGGTCGCAACTGGTCGTGACATACCCTCTAAAGCTTTTGGTGTGTCAGGAGGATCTCCTGTAGGATCTTCGATGATAGGGGACGTAGGTGTGGTGGGCAAGGTTGGGAGAGGTTTTTCGAGATTCGCACCGCTCAACTTCTTTTCATTCTGCGACAGCAAGAATTGTTCGGTACTTGCTGAGCGTGGATAGAGGTCTGGCGTAGAACCTTTGCTTGTTTGAATATTGAAAGGTCGACCACGGCTACCGGAAACAGATCCTAGCTTCTTGAGTCCTCTTCGCACACCCGTCAGAAAAGCACCGTCAGTCTTCTCTGGCTCCCCCCTGAAGTCTAAGCCCTCGTCGTCGGTCGAAGATTCGGAGACGTATAATGACTCTATCGAGTCTTTCGGTCGAAGGGTTAGCGGATCCGACATGTTGAATCATACTGCGAAAGACAAAAAGCAATTCATCAACAGTTACAAAGAGATATCACCAACAACAGATGTCATTTTGACGTGCGTGTGGATATTGAAGCTTACCTTAAAAGTACCCAAAAAAACAACAAGGGCTTCCCCCAAAATTATACTCGGCCTTGTCAAGATCTCCCGAAGTGTAATCCAAGGGTCAGAAACTATTTCTAGTTTGGGGCGTATGGACTCAGGAGAGGATAGGAGATCCACTCGCCGCACAGATTACACGAGAAGAATAACGGGGAAAATCGATCGTTCTTCCGCAGAACAGTTTGTAGAGTGTACGATGCAGGTAACCTGTAGCGACGGCTTACCTGGAAGCCGGCAGTAATCGAATGATTGACCCTTTTTCTTCTCGATGTAGTATTTCCGCCGAAATCTTAGGGGATTCTAGGTGCCTATTGTGTCAGATCGGATAGCAAGCCGAACTCAATAGTCTCACACACCTCGCACTTATCGGTACCAACACTCTCTACACAAACGCGCCTTGTCCCAGCTAAAAAGCCAATTTTCCTAATCTCCGCCTTATTTGGAAAATTGATACCTCTCGAAGCGAGGAAAAAGGAATTTCTGCGGTTCCAGCCCACTTCCTAACTCTTAGTATGCCGATCTCGAAGTGTTCGAATTTTGATAATATAAATCCCAGTTGCTTTTCCCCTTTAGAATTTTTCTCTGCGAATGTTGATATTATTGATTGAAATCTACATGCACGGTTTGTTGTTCCTTTGTTGGTTTATCAATCTTCGAAACTGTAGAACAGCCTTGTAGTTGCTCGGACCCGTCAGAGCGTGAATCTGATTGCTCAGAAGTACTCTTTGGGGGTAGGAATATAAGGTTCATCCGATAGTGATACTGGTGCAGATTCCCACGTGTTGCTTGTTTCATGCAGAGGAAATTGATCGCACATAGGGGGTCTAATTGTTTCTAGAAATAATATAAAAGTCCATTTAATACTGTATACGTAATTGGGTATTCAGCAGATTGAAGTCTTGAAGAAAGTTTAAAGAGGAGAAATATTAGCCCCATCTGCTTCAGATTGATTAGTATTTACCAGGAAGACATCGGTACGAGATAGGTAGACGGGTTTGATAGGCCACCCGATGCGGGAGACCTATCTAGGTACGTACTCCGTGAGTTGACCGTTGAGATTTGGAACGAGCAGGAGTCACTTATCGTGCTTATGGGTAGCATCTTACCTCGAACTTGCCTACTGATGACGATATAAGATGTTGATATAAGATTGGTATATGGAAGCACACGTTGATCCTTTCAGCATGTATCTGTGTACAGTACATCGAAAATATTTCGGAAGCAAATTAGACAAACTACCTAGGTAATAGGATGTGAATCAACACGGACGGTGACTCGTAAAAACAAAGTGCAGGTAACTCATGTATGCAAATCACTCAGACTGAGATAGTAATTAGGCTTTTAATATTTTTTTTCTTTTCTTTCTATTTGCTTGTTCTAATTTAGAATATCCTCCAAAAAGTCATCCAAAAAGGGAGACTTTATTAGTGAGCCAGTCGGCGATTTAATCATTATTTGTTATATCGCCATTGGATTGAGAAAGCCCCTTCATCAATTCATAATTTCGCTTCGCGCGACATTTATTCTGGGACATTTATTCCGCCGCAGATGTCTTCTCCTTTGGCAGAGGAGTGAATCGAAGATATGGCTTGACTGTGCGAAATTCTGGGAAGAGGGTTTTGGCCTCCTCATTCTTGACACCAGGGTGAACAATTACGTCATCACCTGGAACCCAGTTGATAGGAGTGGTGATGCGGTGCTTATCACCAGTTTGGAGAGAGTCAACAACACGGAGAACCTCGGCAGTGTTACGACCTGTGGAAGCTGGGTAAGAGAGAATGAGGCGGATTGTCTTCTTTGGGTCGATGATGAAAACAGATCGGATGGTGAATGCAATACCCTTAGAGTCAACGTTGGTGATATCTTGGTGGTCGAGCCTAGTTTCTTTATCAGTACATATTTCAAAATCGTAGAGAAGTTGTTGATCATGCTTACATGTCATATGCATAGGCGACCTTTCGCTCCTTGTCACCAATGATTGGGAAGGTAAGCTTGCTGCCGGAGATTTCATCAATGTCCTTGATCCATCCACCGTGTGATTCAATTGTGTTTGCAGAAAGACCAATGAGCTTCACCCCGCGCTTGGTGAATTCTGGCTCGAGTTTTGCGAAAGCACCAAGTTCAGTGGTGCAAACGGGTGTGTAGTCCTCAGGGTGGGAGAACAAGACAACCCACTTGTCACCAATAAACTCATGGAAATCGATTGGGCCAGTAGTGGTCTCTGCCTTGAAGTTTGGGGCGATGGATCCTAAACGGAGGCTTCGTGCAATGTTAGTAGAGTCCAAGGATGAAGTAGAGACAATCGTAACATTCATAACAGTAGATTGAAGTTCAAGTTGAAAAATATATCCTTCATAGGGGATCGATAGGTAAACTTACGGGGTTGGTCTCTCTTCAGCCATTTTGAATGTATATTGAGGGTTTAATGAGGTAGTATTGGGGTTGTTGGTACAATGCAGTTGGTCTCAGAGTATTAGTAGAAATTGAGAGAATGAAGGAAGAGGAAGGAGGGTTTATTAAGGAGGAACCTATTCACTTAGTCCGTTCAATTGAGTGATGCCTTATTATTACTTAATCATTGATCAAAGTGTCGCCATCGTAAGACGTAGCTATCACGCCATCGACCTTGTCTGAGCTTGACAAGCCTTCAAACCGGATATGGTTTAGAGAGGGGTACATATGGATTATCTGATAGGCTTATCACTTCTATATCAGAACTCTAAGGAACGAGAAGAGTTTGGCTTTGTAACAATATCACAATTACACTTCGCCCTTTTGGAGAATCAATAACACTATCATTGTCCGAACAGAGAAGGATGGTCCCAAGGAAGCGGGATCTGACGGGACGGGACAGAAGCAAAAGATGGAGACGAGCCAATAGCATCAGGACAACAGCACCCAGGCCGAAACAAGCATAAAGTCTTTGTTTCTCTCTTTTCACGTCACGAATTATATTAAGTGTGAGTGTGGAATGCTTGTAAGGCTGGGAACTGGAGATTCAGACCCCTCCCTTCATTGTGCTCATTGTGCTCCATGCATGGTATGAACACAACTTTGAAGCTCTGGTTGGAGGCATTCCGGACATAATCCACTAAAGGAATCAAATGATGCGGTGAAGTCGAAGTCAAACTTTAAGTGAAGTATTGATTTACCGGAAGGGTATTTATACCTATCATACCTCCCCACCTAGGTCCCCGAAAGTATAATTCCATATTATGGAGTACTATGTAGGTAGTTCTATGTATGAAAAAATTAGCGGCAAGCGGTCTCTATATAACAGTTGGAAAGTGTCGATAATCATAGAATCTGCTTGTCATTCTCAAATTCTGATCTCAAATTCTGATAGTAATTATCTCTTCCTTTTTTCTTGTGGCAACTTTCCTATGTTGCCTGATCGTATTCGAGACCATCAATGTCTGTCATCCAGAAGAAATTCATCTGGCCGCTCATCACTTCATCACTTCATCACAAAAGAGCTGAGGTTACATCCAGCTATCTACCTATGGTTCGCATGACCATCAATCGCCGGAGAATATCCATCAGGAAAGAATAACGACGATTAGATTCTATTAATGGTTTACGATACATCTTATCGAATCTGGAGATACTTGATTGTCATAATTACCAATTGATTGGGTGGAGGCGCAACGATTGTGTTCCTATTCTACTTTTTCCCTTCAATTTTCAGCCATCCCATATATCAGTCTATCACGTGAAGTAGGGTTCAAACGTGATATTGTCCGCAATTGACAGCCAAGTTCCCCATCTTGATTTTTTAATACTCCACTTCTCCGAAAGAGACCGATCCACCAATCCGCCACACCTACCTCTTTCATCATGACCAATCCACCAACCCACCAACCCACCATAAAATACACTTTCCGTTCGGGAATAACAACTCACATTTGAAAATTCGGTGTAAAATCCGCATCTCTGCAGCCAATTCTCGAACTAGAGACGGGTCATCTAACTCATCATGGCTTAATTCATTGAGATCCGCGGTAAAGCCTTCATAGGCTTGTTATAGCTTCAACGGGAATAGGAACCAGGGAGTATTGCTTTCATACATATCTCTACTCAATGCCGGTCATTGTTGTTTTTTTTCCCATTGAGTCATTGTTTTCTTTTCTCAGACTAATCGCATTTATATCTTTTATCTAATGCTTAATATCCATCGTCATCGAGTTCCAATCTGAGTATATACTGGAGACATTCACTTGTCTCTATAGTCTGGAGCGCAGAAGAATGGGCGAAGCAGAATTGAATATGTCATCTTGTGGTGATCCTAGCAGGCAAACCTCAATATCTGACTCAACAACCGATTTCGAGGACGATGGCCAGAAAGGGTTCGAGTTCGCCCCTCAGCCTGCGGTGAATCCAGCAACACAGAGCGCGCTTCATCCGTCAAGTCCGATCATTTATCATTATCTGACGTTCGAAACATTGATCCCCTCGCCTACGAGTAACGTTTCATCCGACGGTTCTTCGGCAACAGCACCACCACGGCCAGAATTGAAGAAGTACACTTCACCGTTCGACTGGCCAGAAAGTCGCAAACGATTTACCGTCTTCCTTTCTTGTATAGCCACTATGCTCACAGCCTACACCGCGGGTGCATATTCACCAGCTGTCAAGCAAATGTCCGAATACTGGCATGTTTCAGACATTGCGATCCTGGTTGGAATCACCACTTTCTGCTTTGGTTAGTATTATTGTGAATATTACGTGATAAGCATGCAGCTAATTTTTACATGAAAGGGTTCGCTATCGCTCCAATGGCTCTGGCACCATTTTCCGAGCTGAATGGTCGGAAGCCAATTTTCATAGCTTCCGGGCTGCTATTTTTTATCACTCAAATTTGCTGTGCTGTGACTCGCTCTTATCCTGGCATGCTTGTCGCCAGATTCTTTGTTGGTTGTGGGAGTTCAGTATTTTCAACAATGGTTGGTGGAGTGATTAGCGATATTCATCACAAGGAGGGTCGAAACACATCCATGGTAAATAGATGGCTACTTTGAAAGTCGCGAAGAAATTTGTTTCCAGCTAACCTGAATTTAGTCCTTATTCTCAGGGGCAGCACTTTTCGGCACTGGCCTTGGCCCATTAGTGAGTGGCTTTATTGCGCAGAACACATCATGGCGGTGGGTATTCTGGGTACAGGTTATTACAAATGGACTCCTGCTCATTGTTCGTATTTCGACTCAACTCCGAATTTGGCCGAAGGAAATGCTAATATGCGTCCCATGTAGGCCATAATACTTTTCTTTCCAGAAACGAGAGGCAGCATATTACTGAGCCGGAAAGCAAAATGTTTGAACAAGTGGTACGAAGAACGAGAGGAGGCTGGCTTCTTTGGCATTGATATGCCAACGTCGGCATCAGGTGAAAAATATGAGTCGCAGCGAATCAGATGGAAGGTGAAGTCAGACGAAGAAAGAGAATCGCTCCTGCAAATGATTAAAATCTCCGTCTACCGCCCTTTTCATCTTCTATTCACAGAGTCGGTAGTATTCTTCTTCAGCTTGTGGGTTGCCTTTGCTTGGGCGGTGCTCTATTTGACCTTGTAAGTATCGAGCTAGGTTTAAGAAGTATATTTTTATCTGCTAATACTGCATACTTTTAGTGGCTCAGTTCCCCTAGTGTTTGAGACTTCCCACGGGTTCAACCTTCAACAATCCGGCGCTGTGTTTGCAGCTATGTCGATCGGAGCAACAATATCTACTTTCATTTCTATCTATCAAGAGCAATGGCTTGTTGCGTGTCTCAAATGGTCGTCCAACAGCGTAAAAAGTCCAGGCATAATTCGAAGAAAAATCGATCTCTCGTCTCCCGAGGCAAGACTGTACTTTGCTTGTTTTCAATCGGCTTTGCTGCCTATTGGCCTTTTCTGGTTCGGCGTAAGTGATGTATCTTTTAGTTATTGCTCAATTGGCTTACACTGTTTCAGTGGACACAATTCTCTTCAATTCCTTGGATAGTCCCAACTCTTGCCATCGGCTGCGCGACTATGGGAATATACTCGATATATCTGGCAACTTTCAACTACCTCGCAGACACTTATCACCGATATGCGTCATCTGCTCTCGCGGCCCAGAGTTTCTGTCGGAATGTTCTAGGCGGTATATTCCCTCTCATTGCAACTATCATGTTCAACAATATTACATTTCAAGGAGCAGCATCTCTACTTGGTGGAATTGGAGCACTATTGACCATCGTACCTTGGGTATTGACCATTTACGGACCGACCATTCGCTTAAGAAGCAAGTTCGCAAGCGAAATTATGTAGCTTTGCTCAAGCAAAACAGTTATTGCTGTTGGGTAGTCATGTCAGTGACGCTAAAAAGTTATTTACTATTATTCATTTCGAAAAAAAAAAAGCGTTTCGAATTTACGATTTATGATACATGAACTTGGCCGAAGAGGCTATATTAATGGGATAATTGGGTATGTGCGCAACAACCACTGGAGTCATCCAAGGCCTCAAGATATGATGGAGATGTTTGAGCACGTGGAAAAAATTGTCAGTCAAAGGAAGAAGAATCTTCTGAGGGAAGAATCATTGGAGAATAGAGGAAGAGTAGAAAATACACACGAACATAATGAGATATGCTGTACATATATACATAGGGAGAGAGTAGATGCAAATTGTATCTTTCTTATGAAGCAATTTCTGAGTAGTGATGCTACAATGATTAACATGATGAGACAAGTTTAGGCTCCAGTGGAATTCATTGTGCTTTGTATCTAGACTTTACATATCCTTTGTTTAATCCTACCAGCTGGTGTATACTTGAATTGACCCCTTTTTGGTAGCTTCTTGATGTTATTAACCCCATTCGTTCAGGCACACTAGTGCTAGTTCAATGTCAAGCTTCAAGATTCACTAGCTTGTAATAAAATCAGAGACATTGGAGGATACTATATAAGCATTCTTCTCCGCAACCTGGGGATTTCCAAATTTGTGAAATTCAAGAATCCGACAAGTAGCCGAAGTCGGCTCGAAGACAGTACTGACCTTGCTAGCGTTATCAGACCCTGATGGAGATCTTCGGCCAAGGATAACAATTTATTTATTAGGTATGTGCTACCAACTATCGGTCTGAATTTGATCTGGAAAAACACAACATTTACCCCCAATCCGAATTGAAGTTTCCCAACTTGTTCATCAACTTCTGGATTTATATAATAGGGACACCTAGGCACAATCTCAAAACTCTATCAAAGTTTAAATACTCCATAGTCAAAATGTTACGCTGGTAGGTATTTTCTTATCTTTTATGCAGCCGCTGATATCATAATTCTTTTTGTCTCAGATCTCTACGATCGATAGCTGACATTAATGTAACAGGTACCAAATGAAGTTGGCAGCTCGCCCTGTCCTTACCCAAAGTGTGACATCGGCAGTCCTCTTTGCAACTGGAGATGTATTGGCACAACAATTAGTTGAAAAGAAGGGTGTCAAAGACCATGAAATCGCTCGCACAGGTCGTATGGCACTTTATGGTGGTGGTATGTAGAGAAGAGCTCAAAACAGGATCAGGAAGAGGTGTTAATAAATATATTTTAGCTATCTTTGGTCCAATCGCTACCAACTGGTTCAAATTCCTTCAAAACCATGTTGTTTTGAAGAATAAGAACCTCGAAATGGCAGCTCGAGTCGCAGCCGATCAATGTATTGTTGCCCCCATCAACTTGGGCTTGTTCCTCACCACAATGTCCGTCCTCGAAGGAACCGATCCAAAAAAGAAGATCGAAGCCAACTACTCTACCGCCCTCCAAAAGAATTATATGATCTGGCCTGCTGTTCAAGCTGTCAACTTCAAGCTTGTTCCTCTTGAGCATAGGGTCTTGGTTGTCAACATCGTCTCCTTGGGCTGGAACTGCTACCTCAGTTACTTGAACGGTCGCAGTACGGAAGTTACAGTTGAGAAAGTGGTAGAGAAGGTCAAAGAACTTTAGAAAATGTACATCATGGTTACAAATCGGGATTCGATACATACTCTGGGCCAATGGCGATTTGATGGTTTTCACAAGATCTCGACTGGATAGACTTTTAAAAGTACTGCATCATATCATAGCAAGGCGTTTAGGATTGGCTTCAGTTGTATTACGAACATAGATAGTCTAGATCATATATAAAACAATGAATGCATTTGGGAAGGGGTCGATGATTTTCTACTTAATTTTTGTAAATGTGTTGATTGATCGGTGACGTATGTTGGATCCCACTATCTGATATCTGATAGTGGAATATTCTTTGACTTCTTCCTCTCATTTGGACGCGAAGTATACATTTACCGAGTAGTTTATTGCTTCATATCATCTGTTAAGTTATCCTCTATTCATTCTTCTATTGAAAATGTATTCGAATATCTCAAAGGTTTTAATCAATTTCTGCACATCAACTTTTCAGCGATGGCCCAACCAAAACAACGGCGATTACCCAAATGCCAGTTAATCACGTGATATTCAATCTTACTAAGCATCAAGGGTTCCAGCCGAGCTTTTTCAAAACAGCAAGGGCCACCACCACCCACCACCTCTAATTGCAAGTCTAGTCTAGTCGCATCGCAACTTCAAAAAATTGAAGAAAGTGCTCACAGCCAAAGCAAACCCACACCCCTACAATACTAAATCGGAAGAATTCCGATAATCTCAATACAAATAAATTAGACAGTTTGCCTGGAGCAACAAGTCTATCAAATCAAAAGAAAGTAAACCGAGCTACTCGTCTCAGGACTCCTTTGCCTTTACTATTGTCCATTCACTCATCACCCCGCCACGGAAATAGAATTTCGACTAGCCTCGCATTCAATTCTGCAAGAGCACATCACATCAACTCTAGGAATCTTTTCAGCACTGACTTTATTCCAACTCAACTCTACTTTCTCCTCCCCTTTACGATCCATCAGACACTCGATCCTACCACACATTCAAACATAACACAAACATGGCAGCCGTCGCAGCACAAACACCAGCCGGTGAACAAGTTGACTTGTCAACTATTCCAGTCTCACCTGAAGGAGCCAGCAATTCAAATGAAAACACCAAGCCAGCCACAGATGGTGAACAAATTACTGTTTTTCATGATAAGGATAACTTCAATGTCAAGCATCCTTTGATGAACAAATGGACTTTGTGGTTCACAAAACCACCCAGTGGAAAGGTTGTTCTCCTACCATAAGGTCTTTCTAGGTCGACCATGCTGACTTTCAACGTAGGGTGACAACTGGAATGATCTCTTGAAAGAAGTCATCACCTTCAACTCTGTTGAGGAATTTTGGGGTGTCTACGTAAGTATAATGTTTTCAGTGTTTTGTCTTTGTCTATCATTTTCTTTTTCTTTTCTTTTTGCTAACTTTTTTTTTTCCGCAGAACAATATCGCACCAACCTCTGAACTCGCTCTCAAATCCGATTACCATCTGTTTAAGGAAGGCGTTCGACCAGAATGGGAGGATCAGCAAAACAAACACGGTGGAAAATGGTCATATCAATTCAAGGAAAAGCGCAATGTTCCTATTGACGAACTTTGGCTCCACGTCATGTTGGCAGCTATCGGAGAGACTCTCGAAGAAGAGGATGACGGAGAGGTGATGGGTGTTGTTGTCAACGTTAGAAAGGGATTCTACCGTGTTGGTGTCTGGACTCGCACAATCGGCAAGAGCATTCCTGGAGGTGGAGATGGTAATGGTGCTGGAGGAAAGGGAAGATCTGCCGAGAAGGGCAAAGAAGTTCTAATGAACATCGGCAAAAAGTTTAAGGAAGTCTTGAAGCTCCCAGCATCCGAAGCAGTTGAATTCTCTGGACATACCGACAGTGCACACAGTGGAAGTACTCGTGCGAAGGCTAAGCATTCAGTCTAGACGCTTTGGACATGCACACGAGATGAGATACGATTCTCCTTTACCTGCGTTACGATTTCGTGGTTTTCTTTTCTATAAAGGTCCACGAAGTAGGCTAGGGCTAAATGGATGGCGGTTCAACAAAGGTTTCCGACTTTTTCATGGCATTATCTGCATGCAGCATTCTTGAAGGCAACAAATACCTAAAATCGGCTTCTTAAAACTATGGGGGAGTAGTATTTGTGCCATATTGTTTTTATTGCTCTGCTATTACATTACCGCTTTTGGTGGTGGTTATTTTATGCATGGCGTTATTCTACACTGGGCAATCAATATAGGCTCAGATATCAGAGGTGTGTTCATAGAGATGCGCGAAGCATGAATTTAGCAAAATCAAAGTTACATATCAATTGAAACAATGAGCGTCACAGTGAATGCCAGGCAAGCATGTTGACAAAGATGTATATGGTTATGGGTGTGCTAGTTGTTGTCTTTCGTCTGAAGTTTGTGCAAGGAGCAATGAGTGTATATTTGCTTATGAGGGCTTCTTCGTCTGAATCGGACTTCTATTTAGTGCTTGTATGGTTGTTTTTTTCCCGTTCCTCTCCTCTCCTCTCTTTGGGAGCATTATGTTAGCGGCGTATCGATATATTTAGGTGATGTAATGTCCATAGTATGCATTCTGACAGAGGTTACAGATAGGGGCAGTGCAGATGATGTATTTATTTTCTACTGGTGAATATACAGCTTATCCAGAAATTGTGATTGATACCCTCCTACTTTAGCATCAGCCATCTTGCAAATTGTAATGATAAATTTCATCTACATTGAGAGCAAATCCCCAAGTGCTCTTCCATAGATGGGAACGGTGATTGATTGATTCGCTTCTCTATATATAGGAGCTACTATACTACAATTTTACCTCTCACATTTCATCTCCACTAATATCATCTACAAAAACGCTCTTCACAAGCACCTTCTTATTAATCTTCCCCATTGCATTTCTCGGAATACTTTCCACAACCCTCATCACCTGCGGGATTTTATATCCCGCCAATCGTTCTTTGAGCGCTCTCCTCATATCCAATGGTCCCCATTTCTTTCCCTCTAAAAATTCTTCGTTCAATACTACTACTGCCCCAACTTTTTGGCCCCAGTTACCCGATGGCACGGCACAGACTGCACATTCTGATATCTGGGGAAGCGATAGCATTTCCCGTTCTACCTCAAGCGCGCTTACTTTTTCCCCTCCGGATTTGATGATGTCAGCTGATTTGCGACCGCGGATGAAATACATAGGACCCTTAGCCCATTCCTGGTTACTTTTCCCCGCACTTTCAACATAGCGACGCACAGCCACATCGCCCGTTTTGAACCAGCGACCGCCGCCATCGGAATCATCTACGTGCTCTTTGAGTGTAGCTTCTGGGTTACGCCAGTATTCTTTGAAGATCGTGGGACCGCGGAGCTGTATCTCTCCATCGCGTTCTTTGCCGTCGGAATCGAGTTCTGAGCCAGGAGCAATCACTTCGTTGGTTTCGGTGTCGACGAGTCGAACTTGGACGGTGGGGAGGGGCCAGCCTACGCTGCCGTCCACGCGGTCCGTGGGTGTTAGACCACAAGAGAGGGCCATGCCGACTTCGGTCATACCGTAGCGTTCGAGAAGAATGTTGTTGGAGGAGAGGGTGGACCAAGCATTTTTGGTGGGAGTAGGAAGGGCTGCGCTGCCGGAGATATTGAGGCGGAGGTTTGAGGGAGAAATGGCTTCTTTTGCTGCAGATTGTTGTTCGGGGGAAAGATCTTTGTGGGCTTTTAAAAGGCGATTATAGACTGTGGGGACGACTGTAAAGAACGTGATGGGTTCCTTGATTTGGGTATCCGGTAGGAAGGGGGCAGCGAAGCGTTGCCAGACGGCCGTGGCGTTGAATGGGAAGAGAAACTCGATCGTGGAACCGGTAAATAGGGGCGCAAGAATAGCATTTACAGTGCCGTGAATATGATGAAGAGGGAGGACATGAAGGAGATGATCTCGAGGACTGTAGTTCCAAGCTTCAATCAGAGATTTTGATTGTGCTGTTAGGACCGATTGAGGAAGTAGAACTCCTTTCTAGTATCTGTAAGTAACTGTTCAAGTCCTATACCAATGGGAAAGCTCACAGGTCTGTTGGTTGTGCCTGATGTGTACAACATCATGCCTGCTTTACCCTCCGATGGCCCTTCCAACGTGACTTTGCCATAGTCTGAATTCTCAAGCTTCTTCTCAAGTTTAATATGCTTTGGTTTGGATTCCAGATCAGTATTCATCACTTCTTGAGCCTTGCTCTCGAACTTGGTTGAAGACAGTAACATCGAAGCCTCGCTTTGGTCCAAGATGTATTGTAATTCATGGGCAGGAAATGCCGGGGATAATGGAACAGCTATAGAGTGTGAACCAAAGATGGAGAGTAAAGTCACTATATATATTATCTTAATCTATGTTCTCTCTGCATACGGATAATTTGGGTTGCGCACCCACATAATCATAGCTATTTTCTACAAGGAAAGCAACTCTTTCTCCTTCTAATCCCTTTTGCCCAGCCTCGTTAAAGAGTTTGTCTCTTCTTTCCGCTACATCATGTAACAATTGACCATATGTAAACTGTCTTCCAGAGGCTGAATGTATTACTGATGTAGATTTGGGGTCATGGCTTGAGATAGCTTCGAAGAGAGGTAATCTTGGGAGCGTGGATGCCATTCTTGCACTGAATAGAGTGGCGGGAGTTTTTGACAATGAACGGAGGAATGTTGAGGGGGTTCGTTGTAGAAGTGACGGTGATCTTCTACTGCAGAACATTGAGACGACAGGAAGGTGGAGAGGCATTGGTAAGGGTGGTTGATTGGATGGCAGATAAAACCAAATTACAAGGAGGCCTGTCGAGAGATGCTGCTAATCGTCCGAGGTCCGGAGTGGAGTTGATGCTGCTGGGGAACGTATTGATAAGTAGTATATCGGTTGAGATCAATTTGCTTTTAGGTAATCCTTATTGCAGCTACCTTATGTTCAAAATATAATACAAATGTCCTTTTCTTAGAGCGAAGATCTTATGGAAAGCCTATGAACGGTCTAAGATCTAAACATTCTTCACTGAAGATGGATTTCGAGGATCTAGAATTGCAATTCGGGAAAGGCTACGGATGACGATGCGGGCCGATTCTTGGAAAAAGTCTAGCCTCAAAACTACAAGGCTCTTCCCTTATCCTTGCTATAGTTGACGAGGCTGTCATGCAACACATAATTATACCATACAATCAAAGAAATATTGGAATAGTTTGCGCGCCAATCAAACATTCGTCATTACCATCTTTTCAATCTTTTGTGAAGCAATAGATTAATGCTTCGCATTATTCGTCCCGCTGTCTCACGGCGCTATCTATCAACAATCATGGCATCCAATACTCCATATGAAGATATCATACGCACTCGGGTGAGTGTCCCTCCCCTCATTTCCGGTTTATTCATCGTCCCTACTAACACATCGTTCTAGCTGACAGAAGAGTTGAAACCTACCCGTCTTGAAATATTCAATGATTCATCCAAACACTCACATCACCAAGCTATGGCTGGCTCAACGTCTCACGAGACCCATTTTCGAGTCGAGATCGTATCGGAAGCGTTCACCAAAAAGATGCAACCTGCAAGACATAGAATGGTGTATGCTTTACTGAAAGAGGAGATGGCAAAGGAAGGTGGCATCCATGCTTTACAGCTGAAGACGAGGACGCCTGAAGAGGAAGAACGGCAGAAGACAAAGGAGGAGGGAGAGGACAAGGGAGCAGTTGTTGCTGAGGCAAGTGGACCTTAGTAGAGGGGTTTGATGTTTTATCTGGTGATCGAGATACTTCTTTCGAAAAATCATTACAAACTAGCAGATTGAGAGGTCAAAGGAAACAACTGTGAAGCTGTGTGTTTATACTATTGCTTGGTTGTGGAGTTAAAGGCAGATTTGAACATACAGAGCGAACACATTGAGCGAAAGATTGCAGCGTTTCATTTCATGAAAATCTAAGCATGCACGTTACCTAGACCATTTCAGTCGACTTCTCAACGTCCAAATCCTCGCTTTGGTCAGAGTAATTTGCGGTCAAAAACGAACATGGGTTTTCCAAGATAAATAGTCTAAGGTGAACGCTTTCTATACTTGCTTCATCGCTGCTCGACTGTAAACCAAGACCAAAGGGGCAGATGCTTGATGGAATCAAACAGGCAAGTCAACTGTCAAAACACCCAGCTGTTCCGCTAATGCGAGCAGTGGATTGACCACAGCTTCGACATCTCCGCTTTTGATTGGAATTCTATGATTGCCATCCCATTCAACCACTTGCGCACTTCCTTTCTCGCACCAAATTCTGAGCATTTCTTGGTGTAATTCCAATCCCGGGTCTTTGGAGCCATGAACATGGATCGTTGGCAAAGTCAAAACGTCATTCTCATCCACCGGTCCCCATCTATCCTGATCTCTCTCCATACTTATCAATGGTGGTCTTCCCGCCATCAAAACCGCAAATCTCCAGTTATGACCCTCCAAGTCCCTTCCCCCTTCTTCTCTGATTTGCCTCCTCAACAACAAGCTCCCAGCTATCTTCGCCCCCTGACTAAATCCCAACAATCCTACCCATTCCCCGGTAGCCCCTTTAGCATCGTCCTCTCTCATCGCTTTCTCAATACTCTTTTCGATAGCAATCACCTCATCACGTGTATCTATTACTTCATGTTCTGGCAACCAGCCGAGCCAGCGTTTAAAAGGTCCACAATCCCCATAGACACTTGTAACATCAGGCCCGGCACCAGACTCAAAAGGTGCTTCGGGAAATATGAGACGAAAATAAGGTTTCAAATGCGAAGAGAGGGCGCGGCATTGCATGGTGAAGATTCGAGCGTTTGTTCCCCCGCCGTGGAGACAGAGTAGCCGGGGTAGATCAAGTGTGGGGTCGCGGTGTGTAGCCATTATTGCTGGTGGATAGCGGAGTTTATGGTTTGGGAGATCAATGAGTATTATGGAGAGTTTTGAATGAGATATGATTCTTGGATGAGAATGAGATTGATATAAATGTGTAAGTTGTTGAGCTGATGACAGGTAAGATCAGGATATGCTAAATTTAGAACAGCTAGCCTTTTGTGCTACGTTCCTATTGTGCTTTGACAATCAGTCGATCATATTTCAGAAATATATGGAAACCTGATCCGGAAAATTCCATCAACGATGAATGCATACGAACAAGTCCAATGTACAGGAACAGTCGTCAGGATCATATTGCGGATGTCCGTTTCAATGGAATTGAGGTGTTCGAAGAAGTGTTGGCGGGGAGGTGGGGTCTGATAAGGTAAGGGTCCAACACAGATCACTTTGCGGAAATCCATCCCTGGAATGGCACCACCACCTTGACTTTATACCATGAACCTTATTTATTCAAACATCCTGAGCAGACATATGGCATTTCGAAACCAGAATATGAGCTTCCGAGATGTTCAATATGAATCAAGATAAAGTGATGAACAAGAAGATGACTGGACAGTTTGAAGTGGTGTTGCTTGGGGTGATTCTCTCGCTAACAACCTCAGCAGTCTCGAGGCAGTGCGATTAATAGTCTAACAAATCCGAAATGCAGTTTGATAATCGAACGCTCTCAACATCTGAAGATATTTCAATCTACGAAATGCACTCAGTCGTATGGGTTGTTCGGATACTCAGTTTGGAGTAGTAGGCCTTGAGAGCTTCTTATTATCGGATTGTAGGCCGGACGAGTTACTTAAAGGTCAAGGACCTTCTTGTAACTACAATGTCACCCAATCACTTGTAAACCATAAGAGTTCATGTCAGTAACCGCGTATATTTCTGTACCTATCAAGTGATGGCTTTTTATCATACTTGCTTCTAATTGCTCTTGCTAGAACGACTCTCAAAGGCTTCCATCCACCCTCTGGCATAACTAGGTACTGTATATCTTTATACTATGGAAAGTTCCATTCTCCTGCAAGCCTAGTGAAATTTCGTCGTCGAATTTGGTGGTTAATTTCAATTTAAACAACTCACTTCTCCAATCTGAATTGTTCTGGAGATAGTTTTAGAGATATAACTTTTCAAGATAGATGTCTTCTATCACATTCCTAAGTTGGCCTACTGCATAACTTCCCATCATCCGCCTGATCTTATCATCTATATCAAGCTGGATTTGATAATCTCAGAACATTCATGTGACAAAGAAACTTATGGCATTGTTCAGTGTTCACAGGCTGTTGCTTAGCCAAGTTTCTTTATTACTCGCTCTAACTCACATTGAAAACAATGACAAAATAACTCTGCGACATGAACATATATTCTCCAATTTCATGCCATAATGTTTAGCTCTAAGTCACAGTAACATCAAAGCCTACAAATTACACTCTAGTAAAAGCTTTATTCATACTATCTACTAGCAACATCTATCAATCCATATTAAACTTAACCATGTGCACAGAACGCCATGTTCATTATATCTGCGGAGACATCACTCTCAGCATCGAGGGTTGCACTCGCCAGGAACTAATGAATTGCCGTCCAACTGATTGCCCTCGCTATCAAGTGGTAGTGGTCAATGAAACGAGAGTTTGCATTATTTGCTGGAGACAGATAAACACCGAAGTTTCCGTCGAGCCCGCGAGCTGAGGGCTGAATTGATTGACTCAAGTGGAGTTTGAAGAGTATTGTATGTTTTTATCTGTAGATCAGATGAATATGGAGTTGTTGAGCAAGACATAGTAAGTCTGGTACTTACTCTACTTTCTTCTTTCATTGCAATAAAATATTAAATAAAAAACATCAAGTTCAGTTCCTATAAAGATATCACGTAAAATTGAATGGATGTGAGATCAATATTCCCATCAAAAGTCACAAAAATATAACACAACCTTGCCCCCTTTATTCTTACTTCATCTATGCAAAATACGCTAATCTTTCGTCTTCAAATCAAACTCACAACACCGTTCTCCTAGTGTCTACCGAAAAAGATCGCGGGTGTGAGGAGTTGCTCACAGCTTCACTTCCAGAATCAAATCCACAGCAAGTATCGTTAAAGGGAGAAGAGGTTGTGAAAGAAAAGAAAATGTTGTCAAAGGTATCATTGTTAAACAGTATTCCATGCAAGACAAGGCATAAATTGTTTTTGAGACCATGAACAACGAGAATTTCCAAGCATCTTGGTTCCCGTTTGATCGTATGAATGCATTTCATCCTCGTCTCTAGTTTCTTTGTTGGCACCTTTTGCCCTAAGTATTGCAATATACAAATTTGATATGACCGTCATACCACTTTCTCTATCCGTTCAAACTATTCCTTGATACTCTTATTCACTTAATGTTATGAACCTTGTGATGTACTATGCTAATTTACACATGAAAACTCTACTGGGGCGAGAGATCCCAATCCAAGTAGCATAGAGCCTGATGTTCGACGATAGATACTGATTTTGAGTACCATCCTACTTGCTATATCGATCGCGGAAAAAATAACCCATACCGAGAAAGAAAGTGAGAGACTAGCTCGCGGTAGCAGTTATTGATCAGAGGCAACAAGATTCTAGTTTGGCATACTGAAAATGTCACTATGAAACTCGAACCCTTATGCTGTTTTAATTGAGACGATGACAGGGGGACAACCAAGGGAGTTATTGGGTTTGAATTGCTTACTGATTATCTTATAAGAATGTATGAATTTGAATGTTGATATGTTTAGATATTCAAACATTTTTGTCATGAACATCCGATCGAAATTCTATCACACGAGATTGCCGAATTCAGTAAGTTGATCACGATGTCACTATCCGAGAGAAAACTTGGCATTGTCAATTGGCCGAAGCTGGTGGAGGTTTGAAATGCATCTTGCACAAGATTTGTATCAGATGTACACGAGTAAAAATTCCCTCGAAGTATCAGCACCGACTGTCACTTAACTCTAGCTTGGGGACAGATATATGACTTATTGCTCTGAATATCTTGGTCCATTGGATATCCTCGTTACCAATTTCACGTTGCAATTTTAATTTTGATTGATACATAGCTTCTTCTTGGTAGATACTAGAAGGGTCGATTTCGAGAAAAAGCGGAAGATAAATGTAAGTACCCAAGGCACATAGATGGATTGAAATCGTTCTTAGTAACCATTAAGGTGCTTTTATCAGCATTGTACTAGTATCACATGATTCAGCTAGCTACTCTAGCGACAGATTTCGCACAGTCGCACCCAAAATAGTCTAGTCTAGCATAATCTCAATTGGTGAGCGTGACACATCTAACCGCACCAATTTGACCTCCACCCTTGTTGACCAAGATTCTAGATTCTAGATTAGGTGGTGGATATTGGGCATTAATTTTGCCTCACCATCGCTCCAATTTTAATGAGAGTTGTCACTGATTCCAACCCTCTTCATATTACACTACATTGGAACCCTTTCCCGTCCGTATGCCTTCATCCTCGCCCCCAATAGCCGACCCCACGTGGGGTAGACAATAACACAAATGCCACCTATTCATGCTCTCGGTCTGTCCCGATTTCGGTCTGGCCCGGAATCCAAGGGAAAAGATCATCGAATCGAGGCAGTACAACGAGCCGATCTCTTTCGACAACTGGTGTTTGTGTTCCGTGTTTTCGGACCCCTCGGCTACTCTGTTTCCGGCCCGAGATTATTTTACACCCGAATGCCATATTCAAAATCCTCACGACTTCATGTTCCACGAATTCTGAGACAAAAAGCAATCAATCTAATCTATTTTTTACTGCCTTGGGTGTGCACGTTCGACAAGTACATGAGCCTCAGTGTACCTTGCACCGCCCTGAGCGCCCTCTTCCGTTTGTAAGGTTACTTCTATTGCATATCCGCCAATACCCGAGACTAAACTAATGCCGACATGGCATTTACTATTGGATTTTGCAAATACCGTTCAATAAAATTGGTGTGAGATTGTACAGACATGGGGAAATGTAGTTCTCATGTCGTGATCCTCGGTAGCGACAATTATACTCAAACAAGCTTAATTGATCCTATGGGATCATTAGCCGGAGTCTTCAATGATCCTGTAGTTATTTCCAAACTTCACTGCCCCTCGTATGGATATCATTATAGGGCGGGGATCTCCAGGGCGGGTAGTATTCACCCTTTCCCAGAGCCCTAGAGCGTTGTGTACTCGAGTCGGGTATAGAAAGGGGTATTTTTGCATGACCCTCGTGTAACTCAAGGAGCTTTTCTGGGATCTGGAAAACACACCCGTTGTATTGATAGTCGATCACCCGTTCGGTGTATCGCAACGAGAAGAGCTTCTTTTTTTTCTCCTCTTGTCCTTCATATTGATCATATCTTTTCACCTGTCCTTGGACTCTAAAGTTTGGAGGCTTTAACTTCCATACTTGGAAAGACTTTACGTGCCCTTACTATATATGCAGCATCCCAGTGGCAAATACATATCTGCAGTTTTGTGTATCATTCATATGCATTCATTGACCACGTCAAACTCGATAACCTAATACTATTTAATTGCTCTTTCTTTCTTCATTACTTCTACTCTCCAGTCCTCTCGACCCCTCAGCACCAGCTTTACTTGACTCAATCATAATTCGGACCATCAAGCTGACTCGAAACAACCCAAAAGACATCTATTCAACAATGTGCAACTCAATTCAGAAATCCTCTTCTTCCTCAAGATCCTCCAAACAATATCTCTCCACACCATCAGCATCCTCAAAGTCAAACTCGACGTCGTCTTCTACCTCTCAAAGAGCCCAACATGGCTCAAGTGTCTCACACACTTCATCTTCATCCGCAATTTCATCCTCATCGCAATCATCCCAACAGGATTCAGCAGAGCGTAAGCATCAAGGTGAAGCAATCAAGCGATATGAGAACGAACCCAGAGATTACAAGTCTTGGGTCGTGGAGGAATACGATGCACATCAGCAACAAGCGAGCGATGAGCGTTGGAACGAAGTGGAAAGAGGTTTCCAAGGTGTTAAGTGGGCGCATTGAGGTTTCTAGGTGCAAAGCAGAGACTGATGGAGTTGTGGTTTTCTTTCTCAAAGGTCGAGTTTTACTCGGATACAAGAAGTTATTATATGGCGTGGAAGAGAGTCTCAGCACCAAGAGCCGGACTCGAGATAGTCTATGCAATGACGGGTTTTATGATCACGATTTTTTGGGGATATCTTGGAATGGAATTGTTTGTTTCAGATGGAACTTGGCGGGGGATAGAGAAGGCAAGAGAAGAGTGACATGTAGACAGATTATCATATACACACACGATCAGCTCCTAGGCTGATGAGATAGAGGATGGAATGGCCCAAAACCACAAGCTATAATACACGAAAGGGAGTTTTCATCCTACCAATACACTTTTTTTCCCCAAAAATTCTTCTATGAATTGCACAAGCGATTGATCGTCCCGCTCACTGTATAACGCATCTATTCCTCGAGGGTCCTCGCCAACACGGAGCCGGATAAGAGCTCCCAACGATGATCCGTTACAGAGCAGACATACAATGACATTCACTCCGACTTGGCACGCAACAAACAAGGTTTTTCTCCCATTGGGCTGGCTTGCTATCCTGTCCTGTCCTGTCGTATCTTATCGTATTCTGCTCTGTTTATCAACCTACCTGCCTACCCAGCCCAGTTCCGAAACGTATCACGATGATTCCCGCTCCGCTCATCATTGTGGAGTTCCACCGCATGCATATATACATCATCAATGCATCATTTGAAAATCACGTCAACGTTGACGGTATCTTGCATGATGCAACAAAGATACACGAGTCAACGAGGGAGGAAAAAAGAAATAATTGGTTTGGTTTTCCCCGCGTGGTTCTGTGATGTACACTCGGTTCAAGGAATCAAGCGAATAAGTTTGTATACTTGGTTTTCAAAAACGCTCATACATTGTACAACTGGTACACGACTGAAGAGCACGTAGGCTTGAGGCTACACGAGAAAGCTGCATCATCTTTCTTGTGTATTTATTTTGCAAGCGCGCTATGCGGCGAAAAATCATTTTGGTTTGTGTAATGTTTGGCATGTATGTAACATTTATTTTGTGTTATAGACGGGGAGGAAGAGGGGAGGGGGATGATATATATGATGTCAAATTAAATTCTCAACGCCGGTCAATGCCGCCATGATGTACGTCGAGACTGTAGGCTGTAGTTGTACATCTAATTTGTCGTTCAACACTAGTACATTCTTACTCGTGTTCATGAATCTCCATGAATTTCTTTCACCTGTAGCCTAACGTTATCTAGATTTTAGATTGTATGTTTCCTCTTGCTCGCTTGTGATCAGTCCCGGACTTCCCACCATGGCATCCTCGCCTTTATTTCCTTTCGGGAAGAATATGACATCCCTTACACTTTCTCTTCCTGTCAATACTGCAACCCATCTATCGAAGCCAATGGCAAAGCCAGCGTGAGGTGGGCAACCAGCCCTTAACGCTTCAAATAAATGGTCAAAATCCGACATTCTCTCGTCGCTCATTTGTAACACATTTTTCATAATGAATTTTTGAACCTCAGCTGAATGAACACGTTTTGAGCCACCGCCGAGTTCAACACCGTTGAGAACAAGATCATAATGGTCTGCGGTCACTGCGAGAGGGTCGGTGAATAGGAGGTCGATATCATCAGCGGTTTTAGGAGCAGTAAACGGGTGGTGGGTAGAAGAAAACCCTGATGTGCCGCCTTGACCAGGGTCGGTTGGATTGGCAGCATTGAGAGTAAATAGTGGAAAGTCTGTGACCCAAAGATAATGAAATCCTGGAGTAGGAGCAAGCAGTTGTTCGGAAATCGCGGCTTTGTAGAGCGCGAGCCGGAGTTTACCTAGAGTAGTGGAACCGCCCGAATGAGGAGTATTTGGTCGCGCTTGAAGGATAAGTAGATCTCCTTCGTCAAAAGTGGTTGTTGCATCATGTCCTCGTGGATCATTATTGTGCGAAGAAGATGGAAGAGAAGAGTAAAGTTGTTTCAATGCCTCAGCACCTTCAAATCCAAATGCTTGTAGGCCTTCTAATGGCCTTCTGGGATCGAATATAAATATTCCGGGAGGACCATCTGGATTCTTCTGAAATGCTTCGGCATCTGCAGAATCCATAAACTTGCAGATAAACTGTTGTACCTTCCTAGAATTGCCATCGAGCCGGAATTTGCAGGCTTCGATTATAGGATTTTCAATCGAAGTCATCATTCCCTTAAGATTTTCTGGAATAATAGAATCAACTCGATGAATCTGTATTCATTAGCTTTGCTCTAGAAATGGTGAAAATTTGTTTACCAAGTCCAGAATTCTGAGATCGGGTTTGTCAGACCCATGCTTCGACATCGCTTCCTCATATGTCACCCTTGGAAACCCCGTTTTCGGCAATTCAATATTATTGACGACTTCAAGCTGTTCAGATTCGATCTGCCCATGTATGCCCTTTACAAGCTCCTCGACTGTCTGCATGACATATTGGCCATCCGCCCATGACATTTCCATGTCAATCTATTTGGAATTAGCACTTGTAGACTGTACTAATTCAATGATACAGTACCTGAGTGAATTCTGGCTGTCTATCCGCACGAAGATCTTCATCCCGAAAGCATTTGGCAAATTGGAAATATTTGGTGACGCCACTCGCCATCAAGATTTGTTTGTATTGTTGAGGGCTTTGCGGTAGAGCATATGCATAGCCTGGTTTTCTAGTAGGGACAAGGAATTCTCTGGCACCTTCAGGCGTTGATTTGAATAAGATGGGAGTCTCAATCTCATCAAAGCTCATAGAATATAGATATTTTCTCACTAATTTAGCTAGCTTTGACCGAAACATTATTCTTTCATAAAGATCTGGCTCGAATCGAACCTCTAAATGCCTGGAATCAGGCCCGAACTTCTGGGCAGGTCCAACAACTATGTCTCGAGGAAATGAATTGATTGCTCTCACATCTTCGGCATGGATGTCAAAATTTGCAAGTAATTGAGACCGTTTCAAAGGAATCGAATCGGAAGCTCCCTCAGTAGCCAGTGAGTCGGCCACAACTTCTGCCGTTTTGTCTGGCTTCTTTATTCTGGACTGTAAAATTCCAGTCACAGATACAGCGCTGTGCTCTCTGATTTCTTTAAAGCTTTTGAAGGCATCTCTGATCTTCCCTTCTTCGGGGCTGTCTTTTAAAACAACCTGAATTCCTGGATTTGCTGAAGACCCTCTACTTATTGTAGCAAATATGAGTCCTTTACCCAGCTGCTTCTTATTGCGCAGAAAACCAGTAACAGTGAACCTTTTGCCAATATTCAATGGCTGCAATTGTTCCCATGGATTTAATGGATCGAGATTGGACTTTGGCAAAGCGACTTTACAGAGGATATCAGCGATATACAATATGTTATCAAATCAATGCTTACTGCTATCCTTGTATTCTTTCCAAGAGGTGCCATTTGTGTCAATGTTAACTTGTTCTTCTGCTCCATTCAAACGGGAACTGGTACTGGTGAAACTTCTCTGATGAACAGCGAGTGATGAGGGGAAACCATTTGTGCGAGTCCATGGTGCGGTTTTACGCGCACATAAGATCACATTTCTTAGTAAGTGCCTGCGATAGCACAATACCAAGGTCATGACTTGAAATCAATTTCTTTTGTGTAGAAGTTCATGAATCATTCGATTTAAACGAGTGCACAGTACAGTAAGTATATGGAGGTGATAAATATCCATGGATATCTCGAAGCTCTCTAGGTGTGGTTAGCGTCTCGGCAAATTCCGCCCTCAAGAATTTTTATATTATGTCGCGAACTTTTCCAGTTTCTCTTTTTCTCTTCATCCTTCCAAGTTTTAAACATGTAAGGCCCCAACATTGACAGATTCAGTTCATGCGCAAATGCTAACGTATATTTGATAGATGATGAAAAGCCAGCGTGTATTATTTGAGTACGATTCCTCCTTTTCGAGCCTGCAAACTCTCCCTTCACCGGGCTTCAGTGGTCTGCTTGCGAGAACTGGATGGAAGAGTGAAATAAGCGTTCGACACACCCTCCTTGTTTTAACGGACGCGATAAAGGCATCTCTGAACCCTAAATCTTGGAAGGCTTCAATTTGGATAACTACAATATAATAAAGATGGTAACGGAGTCAATCATTTCAATGGTCATTCTCTGGAGCTCGACTATTATTCTTCTGGTCAAAGACATCCGTGCTAATCTAGACTTTATTTCTTTTCAATTTCATAGTTTATTTGTTTTGTTTATGTATTGGCGACATCAAGAACAAAAAAGCAACCGTTTCAGAATGGAAACCAGAACGGTTTCCGAAGCAAACAATGTTTTTTGGGGGGCGGGGAAAGAGAGTTTGTGTTCTGAAGTACTCTACTGGAGTCTTTATCTCAAGTGTCGAACTCGAGAATACTTTCTTTTCATTGTTTCCCTTTTTCGACTTACGTACATAGCTGAAAGATCGATCGATTTACCAAATGTCTTTAATTTTATACCTGAGATAATGATGTGATATCCATCAAGTTCTTGTTCATGTCGCAATACTGGAGAATTTCCCGATGCAGTTGTGGCTCATTACTATTCGCCAATCTAGATATCGATATCCTTGGGAAATTCGTGGTACCTACCTACCTAGGTACTTGAAAGTTGCATTTGATCCGAGCAAGCAGGAGTACCCAGTGAACTTTGATGGCGGCACATGAATGATGAAATGGTTGGTTGAAAAAAGAAAATCACGACAATTTGGATTTCAAGAAGAGTTCAAGCATCTCCAGCTAGGTTATGCGAGACGATCAGGTACCGAGCTAGGTATGGTTGAGTCTCTAGGTATGGAGATATAATTCTGATTCGTACAATTAATATGTGAAGGTTTTCTCTTCGTCTCTTGGACTCTTCTCAGAAGGTTAGCGGTACTACAGACCATATGCATCAATATCAAAAAATGACTGATGAAGGCACGATAGATATCTAATATATCTCATATCTATGTACTGATACCCGCAGAAGGGTTAGCATTTCGGACAATCGGATTGCTAGCTGCGTATCTCGTATCCACTCTCATTGCGAACAGTGCTAGATTGGAATGACATGCCATGGAATAACTAAATCGGTAATGGTGAGGAGTCAGGACCGTGAGGGTGGTATTGTATGGTATCCATGGTATACAGATGAGAGTGAAATAAAACAAACTTGATTTGACACCCAAGTTGATCCTTATAATCGTAGCTACCAATATCTTGCTTATTTACTATTGTATCGGCACATACTCCGTCCGTACCTAGTATTCATTCGCATTGGTGTACTGGTACTGGCTGGTATAATTTGAGACAGAATTCATCATTTATTACTCCTCAGTATATCTTCAATAATAACTTCAAGTCCTTTTGCATCTTGTTTATTAGCCAATCTTGCAAGGGGTCCTTCATTAGTAAATTATATTCCTTGTCATCATTTCGATTAAGCACAATTACGGCACCGCTACGAATGTGTACCTACACTATACTACAATCACGACTAATTGAACTACTATTATACACGACAAAGCCGAATGAGTAAAACAAGCACACCCTAACAGACGGTCGACCTTCGAAAGTTCACACTCCTTCTTGATATCTACGCAAACTTCTGTGCCACATAACTCAAACAACAATCATACTCAATACCCCTTTGCTCACTTATACATTCCCGAATACATCCGGACCTACATAATATAATATTTACCTAGTATTCCACTTCGATAAGAGCGAAGCTCGCCATTTGGGAGTGGATTCCTCCCCCCTGGCTTTATTTGTCGCATTGTAGCTGGCAATTCCAATATTTGAGATGTCGAGTTCTTTTGAGAAATCTGTGAAAGGCGCGACGAAGATTAAGGTACGGCATGTTTGATATTGTCTTCTGTCTCGTGGTTGGAGATCATATACTGAGCATCATTGTGAACAGGCTGCCCCTCCCAAGTCAAAGTATTTGACCCCGATCAAATTCTCCGTCGCATCATTTAATTAATCACTAAACAGATATATCGAGCATATCTTGATAGCTACCCATTCAGGCGAAGCAGGAGTAGCTGAAGTATTCCGAGCGTTACAAAATCGACTTCGCGATTCGACATGGACGGTGGTATTCAAGAGTTTGATCACAGTCCATTTGATGATCAGAGAAGGGTCTCCAGATGTAACATTGGCATATCTTGCGCGTCATAGGAACATGCTGGCAATAAGCAGTTTCACCGATGGTGTGTACCCAGAGAAAACTCCTTTTGCGACTCTCTGTATGATGGCTTAGCCACAACAGGTAATCTCATAGAGGCCGTGCTAACAGAGCATGGCAAAGTGCAAACCCAGGGACGGAATATTCGACATTATACAAACTATTTGACCGAGCGCGCGAGATCATTTCGAGATACAAAATGCGATTTTGTACGTGGTGCAGAGGGAAGACTCGAGAAATTATCGGTAGAGAAGGGACTGTTGAGAGAAACAGAATCCGTGCAGCATCAGATCACATCATTACTGAAATGCGACGTACGATTGAAGATGCTCAAACTATGGTGAACAATGCTAAACAACAGTTTAGGTTTTGGATAACGAGCCTGATAATGAGATTACAATTACAGTCTTTCGGATGCTAGTATTGGATCTTCTGGCGTTGTTCCATGTCATAAACCAGGCGATGATCAATATACTAGGTATTGAGTTTTTCACATAGGGAAGATATTAGCTGACTGGTGTAGGCCACTTTTTCGAGATGTCAAAACCCGATGCAGAACGAGCTATGGAGATATACAGAAACTTTACCCGCCAAACGGATTTTGTGGTTTCGTACCTCGGTGTCGCACGTCAATATGAGCATCAAACGCGAGTGGAGGTACCAAAGCTCAAGCACGCACCTGTCAACCTTGGAAAGCAGCTAGAGGATTACTTGATGGATCCGGATTTTGAGGTAAACCGAAGGCAGTATCTTGCGGAACAGGAGTCTAGCAAAGGCGGAAAGAGTGGAACCAATGGATCAAGCAAGCCATTTGCAGTACCTTCTAAGAGTGAAAGCGAAAGCAGGGCCGCGACTGGTCGTTCCTTTCCTGATGCAGCGCAAGCTTCTTCTTCGAGCGCCCCCACACAACCCCCTAAACCACCCGCTGCAGATTTGATTGACTTCTTCGATTCCATTGATACGCCACAGCCAATTGCCTCCCAGGCAGCGTTGCAGCAGCAACCTCAATTTAACAGTGACCCTTTTCAAATGCAACAACAACAGCAACTCCAGCAGAATGGGTTCATTCAACAACAACCTGGCTTCCAAGACCCCGGACAATTTGCTCAACAGCAAGGCTTTAATGGCGCCTTCAATATGCAGCCACCAATACAACAACAGCAGCAGCAACCGCAACCCATGCAACCAAATTTTACGGGTGTTGGATTTGGTGGTTATACTCCTCAGCAACAATTTCAGCTATCAGGTCTCTCACCTATTCCACAAGAGTCAGCTGTAAACTTCCAGCAGCAGGGACAGCAACAAATGAATTTACAAACTCCACAACAGACAAATCCTTTCCGACAATCGATGATGACGAATACTACAGGACTGGCTGGACCTTCATTCCCAGCTTCACCTCCTATCACATCACCAGTCACTAGGCAATCAACAAACCCTTTTGCCAAGTCAGCATCGCCGCAATCACAACCTTACACACCACCCCCCGACCAGCAATTTCAGCAACAACCAATGGCAGCTCCTCTTAGGTCGATGCAGACAGGCACAAATCCTTTTGCCAAAAATTTATCCATTCAATCAGCTGACCGGCCCCAAACCAGTGGCGCCAGTCTTGCGCCACAGCCTACTGGAAACACAAACCCATTCCGTCAGAGTCAATTTGTCAATACGGCTACTGGTATGGGCTGGCAAAACGCCCAGCAACCGATAGGGGGTGGTTTAGACCATCTCCCAACGGTTCCTGTATTTCCTCGGCCCGGGCAACAGCAAGCTTGGCAGCAGTGATCGAGAAGGTGATTCGTGAAGGAAAGTCCATATATATTTTGGACATCATGGTTCACGTGGACTTTTGTGCTATGGTAAACATTTTTGTGTGTTTTAAGGATCATTACAAGCATGGCGTTCTGAGGATATTGTAATTTGAAGATCGGAGCAACGTTTAAGGGCATCAACAATGCACGATGTGATATTAAGTTGCTTTTGCCTACTTAGGAGGTATCTAGCTCCAGGTAACTAATTACAAAGGCCTGTCCTTTGAATGTATAACTATGTCCAGATGATCTCAGACGCCAGTAACCATCCTATTTGTCACTAAACTCCTTGAACCGTGCAGATCCCATCCCGTCCCTCTGTATTATACACCAGATATCTTATCAGAATACATCATCTACTTCCATTCTATCCGCCGCCTTCAGCATTATCTTCCCCGTAGATGCTTGTGCGGCTGCTATGGTAGCACCGGAAGGAGAGCTCGATTGAACTCGATCTCGCATCTCATCCTCGATAAATATTTCGAGGCCACTAAAAGCATCATGCATAGCTCTTCCGTAATATTCATGAAGGCTGTAACCACCTGCCATATGTTTGGGGTCACGCTTGACACTCTTCTCAACCCACTGGTTCTCGTAATCATCTTGTAATACGTATCTCGTAGGTGTAAGAACGATTCCTCCAAAGGGGTCGTAGGGTTTCTCTGCCACAGGCGCCACCTTCTTCTTTAGACCCCTAATCGTAAGGCCCTCTCCATCAGCGCTACCAGTTCCAGCACTGACCGCAGCATCTCTTTCTCCCAAGGTTCTTCTCGCCGAAGTCTTCTTCAAGATAATCTTATGTGCTTGTTGTGTGATATCAGCTGCATTTCCCTTGCCGGTAGCCAACTGGTCCAAAACCTGCTTGCGACTCTTCTCAACATCAGCCTTCTCCTCTGCCTCTTCTCTCATAGCCGCAAATCTCCTCTGCTTCGCCATCTCCCTATCCTCCAGCTCCTTCCTCTTCCCTATCTCCACCTCCCTTAACCTCGCATTCTTATTCTCCTCAATGGCTCCGCGGTTCGCTTCTCTAAATCTCCTTAGCTTCTCCTCCGCTTCCTGCTTGACTTTGCCCTTCCCATTCACCAGATCGAAGACCATGCATTCCGTCTCTTCTAAATAATTGTTGTAATCCAACAAGGTCTCAAAATCATCTTCGTTGCGATTGAACACTTCGCCTACTCGACGTCGAATGTCACATTCACGTTCTATGCCTAGATCCTCGAAAAACGCAGATTTGAATCCCTTTTTTCGTAATGTGCGACCGCAGTGGAGAACGGGACAGGGCGCGGGCCCGGAGGTGAAGATGCGGTCCACGCAGGTGGAACACATCTTGTGGTAGCATTCTGGGTTGATGAGGAATTCGAGATCGCGGTTGAGATAACGGTTGGATTTACATATGGGACAGATGTCATCGGATGGATTGGAGATGTCGAGGGGTTTAGGCATTTTCGTGTGCGGTGCTTCGAAGCACTCTGTGATTTTAGAGGGTGATTGAAAGACGATTTGGTTCAGGTTCAATCGTATGTGTAGCCGGAGTTGAATGTAATTGAATCGCTGGTGCTTCTATGAATAAAGACGAGGCTAAATTGAAGCCTGACATTTCAAGTGTGGCGCTCAATGTGGCTTTGTAAGCAAGCCACCTCGGAGCCTTGTCTGCTTTTCGATAGCTAAACAGTTAGATCAACGATTACAAAACACAAATACTGTACATTATTTGCAAAGATGGCAGACAAAGGTGTGTTGAAAATCTAATTCTTACTTCGCATATTCATGTATCAGGAAATTCTTGTGGCTATTCGCTCATAACTCGCACTTTCTATACCTGCTTCACCTCAGCTACCCCGCCATTCCCACCCTCCAATATTTCAACTAACCAAAGCTTTCAGAGCCAACGCCCCAAGAAGACGCCGCAGCACGCGCAAAAGAGGCAGCAGAGCAAGCCTCCCTTCCCTACAAATGGACCCAAACGATTTCCGATCTGGATATCACCATCGAGATCCCCGGAAACCTTAAAGCTAAAGATTTGATCGTTGATATCAAACGCCAATCACTAAAAGTGTCGGTTAAGGGCCAGACTCCTATTGTTGACGTATGTGCTTTCTCGACCTAGATCTTCTCTGTTGGCCACTCCTTTCCGATTGACACATTGCCATATAGGATGCACTCCCTCATGCTATTCTCCTCGACGACAGTACCTGGACGTTGTCTAGTCTTCCCTCTGGTAGCAAAGCTCTTGAAATCCACCTCGATAAAGTCAACAAAATGGAATGGTGGGCACATGTCGTCGTCTCGGCACCAAAGATAGATGTTACCAAAATCACACCTGAGAACAGTAAATTGGGAGATTTAGACGGAGAGACGAGGGGCATGGTAGAGAAGATGATGTGGGAACAGAGAGACAAGGAGGTGAATGGGGGAATCAGCAGTGAGGAAAGAAAGAAGAAAGAGATTTTGGAGAAGTTTCAAAAGGAACATCCGGAGCTCGACTTTTCGAAGGCACAGATGAATTAAGTGGCTTCGATCTTTGAGGAAAAAATAGACATAATGGTTGCGTGGAAGAATCAAGGCGAACAAAATGATGAGTATGCGAAACCTGCTATAGCTGATTGCAATACTTATAAAGATACCTATTTATTGGCGAAATCGAAAGACAAAAGTATCACTTTCTCTTAGGGTCCATACTTTGCACACTGACTGGCTTGCCATTCTTTTTGGTATTGTACACCTCACTCCTATATCACATATTTTATATGCAGTCCCAAACATCCTCTAAACTTTTTTACTTCGACACAACCACAATCTTATCTCTCCCCTGCCAATCGTCGACTTTGCACTTCGGAGAGCGCTTTGCTCCCACTCAAGAATGCGACTAATCCTACAACGCCTGCAGCGGGTAAAGTCTGGAATAAGTTCCAGCTTGAGTAGTATAAGAAGAAGATTCCTTCCATGGCAATGATTGAGCCATAAAATAGGGCGTGTGAGATTGGTGCGGCGGAGGTGGCTTTCGATAAGTGAGAAAGATTGGCTCCGAGGTAAGCCCACTATTAAGAAAGTGTCAGTACTAGGACCCAAGAGATTTGAATGATGAATACGTACAGCACCCAACAGCACTGGGACAGTTGCTAGGACTGCGAGCGCGAAAACGAGGGAAAAAATCTTAGGTCCGCTCTGAGGATCGGCGCGGAAGATGTGGTTGATCTCAGGCAGTTTTCCGTATCTCAATGGTTTTTCATAGGATGGTATTGGCTGGCTGGCATCGAGGGACAGAGCGAGGTCAAAAACGTGATTGATGAATGCTTGTGTAGGACCAAAGGACGCAAGAACAAGAGTGGCACGTAAAGGCTTAGAGCTCGTGAGAAGCTGGATTGGAAGATCTTTTTGAGTCTGTATATCCATTAGCATGATCCAATAGATTGAGTCAATTGCCTGTAAAACTTACAAAGTCAACCTTTCCTTTGCCAGACTCCTTCACGGAGAATGGGAAAGTAACTTCGAGTCCAGTATCTTGTTCTCTCAAGAGTAAGAATGCTTGATGGGGTCGTTTGGCAGCACGATCTTCAGTGGCCGTGAGGACAATTTTAAGAGTGTCCGCTGCGCCAAGAGAAACCGCTTTCGCAAGAGGGACATGGTCTGATAGTCTGTAAAGCAATCAATTAGTATGCCATACTTTGGAAACCATATGTCTTTCAAAAATATATCAACATCTTCCCGAATCCACGTACTTGTCCTTAAAGCCTCCAGCACTCTTTCCGCTCACAGAAACAATAGCTTCATCAAAGCCCCAGGATGAAGCTGCTGTTACAATTCCGGCACCAGCAAGTACCAATGAAGGTATTAAAGAGCGTAAGAAACGCATTTTGATTGAGGAATTCGTTGTGTATTGGAATTTGGGAATTGAAATTCACGAGGGGAGCTCGGAGCCACGTAAGAGCTCCAATTGAACACATTTCGGGGACATGGCGGATTTACGTGGTACCGAGCCGATGCACGGATACAGCATCAGTTACGTGCCCGCTCTACGTCAGCGAAGCAACAAGCGGGAATCAACCACCCATATTTACATCAACGAAGTCTCCTCCTGAAGTCACAACTACATCAAATATGCCTACCAAACGTCTGTCTATCTTTCCTACTTACTCCGAGATACAAAATGGGAAACTTTCACCACAGATTCCTGTCACCGAAGCCACGTCTTAATACCAAGAGTTCTGTCCATTTAACAATGGACAGACATTCTTGCTGTGCCCCCACGATGAGTTACGGGACCTATGTTAGATGAAGCCACCGGACGATACACTATGGAAGTTTACAGACGGGGAATCTTCACAGTGGAGTTCAATGTTAAATATCTGAAGATATTATTGCCGACGCACCGAGTATCGTGCTCCACAGGACCTGAATTACAAACGTGCCAGTGAGAACGAAAGTGTACATAACGGAGATCACTGAGGTTAACCATACAGCTATCTTCGCTACGGGAGAGCTTTCGTTATATAATAGAGTAAAAAGCTCCAAATAACGACTTGTTTCTAAGAATATCAAGAACAGCTTTCCCAACTCAATCTGCTATACCAAACTGCCTGGGATGTCATCACACCATTACTTCTCATAGGTTCCAAATACTCCCGGGACGATGCCATTCCCAAGGCGATCTACTCCTTTACAGTATATCGTCTCACCACGCTAATTCCCGCATCTTCTCTCTTGAGAAGTTTCCTGCATCCGTGTCTCTCATAGGTTCTATCAAGAGACTGTCTTCCGAACACATAAAATACACAACACTATGCCGCACCAAACTTGCTTGCCATAAGACTCTGGCCGCCCAGTATGTACACATAGTCCTCCCATTGAACATAGCAATGCAGCAAATTTCAAAGCAGTACATTGTCGTTTCTACTACTTAAGCAAAAGCAAATCGCGCCTGATAGTCAGTATTACACATACCCATAGTTCTCCTCGCAGCACAGAACGGTAGATATCCTCTTCTATTTGAACCCTCTGACCATCGTATGCTCGCTCACCTCGATCTTCCCCAAATAAACATGTGAGACATATGAGTTCTCAATACTAGACCACCGACTTTGATTTATCAGCTTATTTTTATAATTTTCGGTAGCGCAGAGGATGATGATTTGTTGAAGCTGCATATTCATGAGCAGCGGAAAGATATTGCCGTTCTGAGAGACTCAGAGAGAGGATCCAAGCAAATAAGAACATCTCCTTGAACACAAGAGAAAGAAAGGTGAGTCCCTTGGACTACAGGAAAGAGGAGCCGGCAAGTGTTGTGACATTAGTTGCATCGGCGTCTTTTTCCGTACAATCGTGAAGAGAGAACTATGATTTTGGGGAAACGTAACCTTTGAATGTAATTTGGCATCACCTTACCACTAGGTAGTAACAATGATATCTATCTCCCAAGTCAAACCTTTCGCTATATAGCCACAAGTGGATAAAACACATGGACAATGAGCAGTGAAAAATTATTGATATCATGAAATATTCTCTCATTAACGCCCATCTACAAATCTATGACAGCAATTAACTAATTATTCCTCTATCCCGAATCATTTTGATATCTAAAAATCAAAAAAGCCCTTCCCGTAAAACGCCAAACGTATTGATGCAACGAATCCAACTACACACTGATACTTTGTGTGATGAACCAAGTACTGACATCGTCATTATTTCTTCACAACATCCGCCCCCTCCTTTCCCCATCTTGTTGTCTCGTCGCCTCCCTGCCATTCCTCTTCTACATATCCTAAATCCTTTTTAACCCTCAGAACAGTGCTTTCATCACCCATATTCTTCCCAATATTATCACTGATCTTGATAGCCGGCTTACCATCAGCAGAGCTTAGTTTTATGACAATATTCAATGGCGTCGACTTCTTGCCTGAAGTTGTATGAACGAAATCATTTGTGAAGAATGTGCCCACACCAAAGGTAGGCTGGAATCCTGATTCTTCAGCAATTTGCTTGTACTTTATGCAAAGCTCGACGTCTAAGGAATCGGAAAAGACAATTGTTTTCTTGTCCTTGATGCCCTGCTCATCGTAGAACTGACGCATCTTCTTTACAAAGCTTGCTGGATCGCCAGAATCTTGTCGTACACCAGTGAAAGCTTGCGCAAATGTTGGGGAATCCCCGTTCGATTTGTCTCCTGCTGCATCCAGAGGCGGGTTCGTACTAGTCGTCCCGTTGGTCGTGAGTGTATTAGCCGACGGTAGTGTAGCAGCTGCGCCCGAAGTTGCCGTTGTGAGAGATGGGATTTTCTGAGAAAAGACCCGGAGAAAGTCTTTAGTACCAAAAGTATCTGTGAGAGCAATACCCAAAACGCCTTGACCAAAGCATCCCACCCAATAGTCCAACGCAGTAGCCGTAGCACTTCTATAGTTATCCGTGATAGCCGCGACTCCCATAAACCATTCATGTGCGACAGTTCCTATGGGAGCAATTCCAAATCTCATAGCTAGATGAACATTACTCGTGCCCGAGATCTTTCCTGTCAATTTGCGCTCTTCCCCTGCTTTCTTCGCCTTGACCAATCCACGAAACACAAGAGCCTGAGTGTGATAATCTCTTCTTCTTCTGGTTCCAAACTCCGACACAATGCATCCAGCTTCTAAAAGCGATATTCCCTTCTCGTATGCCTTCTCTTCTTGTCCATCGTATGTCCAATCCGTATCCATGAACTTAAAGTATGCCTCACTGGTTAGAGCCAATAATGGGATTTCGTACAAGATGGTATCGACCCATAAGCCCTTTACCACCAAATTAACTTCTCCAAGGTCCTCGTCTTTCCCCTTATCATCGTCTGCTACAAAAGTAGCCTCGATTTGGTTTCGCGGATCTAGGCGGAACTCTTTCAAGAAGTTGAGGTAAGATTGGTTTAAGTACGTGCAGGTGTTTTGGAGAAATCGGAATTCTTCGTCTTTGAGCGCAATATTTCCCAGTTCTATTTTCATAAGCTTCCTTTCAGATCAAGATTTTAGCTGTGAGTTCTTACTGCTAATCTGAAGCTGTAACCAACGAAATGCAGCTCTTGACAACTTCTTCTCCGGCGTTCTATTCTTGAACGCGTAAGTCACACGAACGGTGGGAAAGTATTTAAGGACGGCACATTGCATCGTCAACTTGTAAAGATCGGTATCAAGAAAGCTGATCACCCCTTCAGGGTATTGCGAAGTTGCATAGAAATCCATCTTTAATTTTGATTGCCGGAATCAAAATTGTAATTCTGTTGTGATGGATGTTTTTGTGTGTACAAGTACTAGAGAGGTACTGTACTTATGATGAAACGATGAACTGATCACCCCGCCATAAAATTTAGTAGTGGGATGAATGGCGTGGTCCGTGAGCACCAGAGTTGAGGGTTACGTAATTCGGCCCATTCTGAAGTTTGCTAGCATTTTCTTAGCTCTATCGAGAAGGCTACGATTAGACTAATAACCTTAATGCGTGACTTGTAAATCCATTATTTAAAGGCCGACTGCGGAATTTACGGCCTTTAATACAAGCTCGCAAGTCAAAGTCGTGGGCAGGTACATGATTTTCATCTCAGTTCAATATCTGGCTAAAGGTCAATTTGAATTAATGTAGCATGCTATTTCTAAAAGAAATTATAATCCTTATAATGGTTCTACGTATTAAATAATCCAATCATGCTTTCTGACCATCGCTATTGATGCAAGAGTTTATGAACGCCCATACTGTGCAACCATCAATATTTCAAACTTCAGTTCCTTATAACGAAATCCAAGCCACCCACTCCAATCCCATGCATAAACTCCAATCGTTGCTCATTCCCATCATTCAATATAAAATCAACCTAGATCAGTCCCACACTGTTTCGCGTGAAAAATGGTATCCTATGTTCCTCGCCATCTATGCAGCATCCCTCATATCGTCTTCCTTCCACTGATGGAACATTTTCTTATAACTCCACTCAGGACTACTCGGTTCAGTGACGCTATTCCTCTCTCCTCTTGGTCTCATCTCATTTGGTGACTTGGCTGTGGGTGGATATACAAGCCCAGTCCCATTTCTTATAATCGAGGGAGATGTAGCGAGGATACGATCCGTTCCTGCAGTGATGGGCTGATTCCTGGAGAATAAGTCAAGTTGTCTATCAGCGGTCGAGCCAGCTATATCATATATAGCTTCATCTGCCTCTGGTTCTGTAGTGCTTTCATCAGTCTGTGGCTCATTATCGGCATCAGAGCTTGACGGTGAAAGTGTTGTTTCTCCGGGAGATGAGAGATCTCGAATTTGGTGCTTGATGTGAAGCATGTCTCTTGAAGGAATAGGGAAGCTGAACATTTCATTTTCTAGCCCTAATCGTGGCGTACGACGAGGAGTAGTCTGAGCCGAAAGAGGTCCGGTGTGATGGGAACGCTCTTGATGTTTTGCAATGTCTAATACCGAGGCTGTTGCCCTAAGGGGCGGGCGAGATGGATTTCCCCATTTCCCATTTTGTTCAAAAGATTCACTATCTTCATCCCGCGACATCAGTAACAAATTTCCATTATCAAATCTTTGTCTTCCCATTCCGGTAGACTGTCGGGAGCCCTCACCAGCCCTCAACCGTCTTAGGTTAACCTCACTTGGACTAAAAACTACTCTCGCTCGTAGTTTCTGCACAGCAGCATCTAACTCCAGTTCAACGGCGCAGTGATTCCATACACGACTTAATTTTGGCCAAGTAGCTCTTTCCCCAGACAAACAAGCCTGCTCCATGAATTCGGTCGTCGGATTCTTTAGTATCCTGGGAAAGTCCTTAAAATTGATTTCTGGTAGAATTGTGATATCACCAGAATATTTCTGACTCAGGATAGACTTGCACTTAGTTACCAGATTTGGAAATACACCCAATTCGGCCAAAACTTGCATACGATGCAGAGCTTCCGCCTTTGCCAAATGTGTGAGATTATAGACCCAGCCGGGTCCTCCGTTACCATTTTTCATTACAGTTTCTTTGACCGCTTCCTCGTCCTTAGCGATGAATGGTATAACATGAGGATTGACTTGAGAAACAATGAAGTGATTAACATTGAACATTTCTGCCAACCGAGTCATTGGTAGATCGTTGTCCACACTCCCATCAATCCAACGTTGAGGTGTAGGATTCCAAGACGAAGTCTCTCCCGTAAGCGGATTTTTCATGAGTAGTTCCGCTGCAGAAAATAGAAGAGGCACCGAACATGACGCAGCTACCGCTGACCAAATCATGACATTCGGTGCCGTAACATAGTTAAGTAGCCGAGGTAGCTCGTATACTGAGGCAGATGATACACATATATTGAGAATGCGACGAGATCGATTGTAAGCCTCTTGGAATGTCATATCTCCCAAAAGTTCCCGCATGACTCTCGTTAAGTGTTTTATATCGATCCACGCACCTTCTGTCAACAGCCGTCTGATTCTATCCAGGACTCCGTCTTCATTTCCATTTTCCTCGAACACTGCAAGGTCTCCGTGCGGGAATTCCTTCAGCACGTCCGGTATCTCTTCATCGGTCCTTGCGCACAACACAGCACAAACTATACTACCAGCAGAAGCACCCGATATGATTCTTGGTAGTAGACGAGCCTCGAACAGAGCTTTCAAGACCCCGACGTGGTTCATTCCAAAAGTTGCTCCTCCACTCAGTAGTAAGGCACTTCTCCCAAAAGCCTGCCTTGCATACACAACCTGCTCTAGTATATCCTTTGTCTCCAATCCGACTGGCAAGGCATACTTGCTGTTTTCAACCAATGCGCGTATCGTATCCAACGTCGACTCAATATACCTCTCGATGACAACTTTCGTTCCAACATGACTATGCTTGTATAGTCTGATATTGCCCATACCTCCCAGATCCCTGGACAATGTTGTGCGCACCAATGTAAGCATCTTCTTAATATCGCAATCGATTCTAGCCGTATCCATCTGTTTAGTCCTTGCTTCGATTAACGCAGCGTCAAAGTCGGTCGACAGTGAGTCGAGTTTCCATGCTTCATTATCCTCGAGTATATCTAACTCTTTCGCGGCACTCCTCCAAACTTCCAACGTTTCTGCGTTCTTCATCCGCAAATTCAAGATTTGTATCCTCTCCTCCTTTTTGCGCAAGGCAAACCGTTCTTCTTCCGTCAATCCATCTCGCACTTGTAGTATCTTATTGTTGAGGATATCGGCGCCTGTTTTCAAGATCCTGGTGGCCGGTCCAAACAAGCCAACCGAGGGATCCGAAACTTTCTCCCTATCATACCCATATTCATTCGCATTGGAAGATTTGGCAGATGTAGCGGTAGTATTATTATTAACGACACAGAACTGTGGAGTCTGAAGGTATCCGAACAACACCATGCTTCTCCCAGTTCTCCATTCGAGGCGTACTTTCTAATGTTCCTTCACAAACAAAGGCTTTGGTATGGTTGCGGAAATGCGTCCGTAGCTACAGTGTTTGGGTATAAAAGACGAAAAACAATCATCAACACCGTAGAAGTTATTATAATTATTTTTATATTATTTAATCATTGACGTAGGGAAGTGCCTGTGCCGGTAATTGAATTGAATACCTAGTATTGCATGCAGATCTCCTGTGTCAGTATAGTCCATGCAGTGTCACAGGGCACGAGTCAATCTTACTTTCCAACAGATCTTATTCAAATTTCCGAAACAAGGAATACCTAAGCTCAGCTGATCGTACGGAGATTCTCAATGAGTGTCTAGTAGAAAGTTTATGGGAGAAGACATAAGAATTAATTGTCTTATTCTCTTCTTTCCGTCATTTTCTTTGTTGTTCAATTGCGGTGTACTCGAGTACATGGTAAAAGAGCCCAAATCATCATCAATACTAATGCATTTTAAGCTTGGCTGTTAAAGCTGGGCAGCAAGTAGGTATGTAACCCCAACCTTGGAAGTGCTTGTTGGTAGGTATTTACAGCGTTTCCCCACACCAACAACATGGCGTACTATCGTAAACCTTGAAAAGGAAGATCATATGGTACCTGGAGTGCGACAGTGCATACATGACAATCCGATATACGTACATGCGAATTAGATTTCCGGCGGTACCATCGGGTCAGTTCAGGATCATCATCTCAGCTGAAAAGATCTCGATTTGTTTCTGTACGCAGGGTACCTTGTATTCGTAACGATGCGTAGGTTGCATTTCTCCTCATCAAGTGTTATTTCGCTAGCCCCTTCATATCAAATTTAAGACATCTATGCATTATCTATCAAAAGCGTATCGAGGCAGATCCTGATGGCTGTATAGGCAAAAGTAATGAGTAACAAGTAAGATAGATAGATACATTGGCCTTTTGCACAAGTCCCTGCTTAGATTATCAGTTGAGAATCTATCGTTCCTCGGGAACATTCTGGATAATGTTAATCAAGCATTCATGTCAAGCTGGATTATCTTTGGCGTCGAAGAAGGCTTCAACAAAACCTATCGGATCATCCTCATTGAGCCCATTTATGACAACCTTGGAATGCATCATCTGCTATGCAGTATGATCTCCACATGAAGATCGAAAGATGCGAAAGGCTCGAAGCATGTGAAATTCATCATGCATCACATTTAGCATGTGAAAATTAAACCGCCACGATTGAACAATCTTCATGTAGATAGATTCAGAGGCCTAGAAATCTTTTATTTAAATTTCAAAATGTACTTGCTATATCTATCTATGGTAACCAAGCAAAAAGGGGTATACGCTTGTTACGTTATCAAACGCCGAGTTCCTCCCATATGGTGAGGCTTGATACGTAGAACAACGCCGAGTTCGTAACCTATTTTCCAAACAAAACAATCAACCCAAACCCATTCTCCGCCATCCTTTTTTGCATTTCTAATAGAGCTTGCCATCCGGTCCCATAACTCCTTCGGAAGAAGCCATGTTGCACTGTCTAAATAGTCTCTTTTCCTCGGGACTGAATGCACCTACGACCGAATGTAAGACTCCTTGATTGTTGAACAAGACCAAATCGCCTTCCACCCAATCATGTGGATACACGAATTTTGGACTGATAGCTGGTCGCTGTAAGCGATAGACTAAGTCTCTCACTTCCTTGAGATCAGTCATAACCTCTCCATTTGGTAGATGAATGGCTTTGATGGCACTAGGATGAATTTGAAGTGCCAAGTTACCCGTGACTGGATTCTTCCAGCACATAGGCAAAATTTTGATGTCCTTCTCATCAACAGGAGGAAGTTCAGACAAAGGCAACTCATTCCCTTCGGAAACCATACCAAGACCGGTGGAGCATGACCTTGCAGGAGACATCCAAATATATGGATGTGGTGCGTATTCTACCTTTGCTCCACGAACGAACCCCTTATCCTCTTCGCTTAACAAATTGTACATGTTTTGACCGGAGATAAAAGCAGTGGTACCAAGAGGGACATCCATTTCTTCACCAGTTCCATCATCATAACGAAGAGTCTGGCGACGGCCAGCCGGAACCTTTACAGCCATCAACGATGTCACTTTTGGTGGATTGAGGGCATACAGAGCAGCATCAATGTGCCATCGGTAGAAACGTGTGAACGCCAAATCGTCTTCCTCTGAAACAGCGGTCTTATGGAAGACCTTGTGATGAGGGTGCTTGAGTGTAATATTCTTCAAACCTTCATATTCTTCATAAAACCCGTTTCCAATGACTTGAACCTGAGTTTGATGAGGGATTGTTTTCAAGTCCGGGTGAAGAACTGATCGTTTCGCATCAAGAGTTTTGCCATGGCCATATGTTTCTAGGGAAATAATTAGACACAAGACTTAAACGGATGGAGGGAAAGGACTTACCGGCCGTGGGATCAAATCTGCGCGTAAGGTCATATTGAGCTTTGGGGGAGAGACCAGCCTGGTTTTTCAACACTACAACATGGTAATTATACAAAGCATTGCGAATAGTTTTGAAGTCCTCCTCGCTAAGATGTTCCAGGTCGACGTTGTTGATCTCGGCTCCGAGGTTGAGAGAGGAATTCTCTTGTGAAGAGAAAGGCTTCACTTCTAATGTCTTGACGGCCATTTGATTTTCTGGGGTTCAGATTTTATGTTTTGTCTGGAATATATAGTGAAAGGAAGAAGATAGTGACAGGTGTTTGGCTGTATATGATCGTGGAAGGTCAGTGATTTATGTATCCGAGTTGTGAGCGAGAGGCGACGGAAACGTCCGAATGGAGCAGGTTAAATTTATGCATAGGGAAGGCCGGAACAGAACTGACTCCACGCATTCCCCCGCCTGGTGCAAGAGTAAATCGGAATAACTTTGATAAGCCATTCTTGACTTGCAAATGGTGAATTTGAGTACTTTTAGTTGAATGTATTGGTGAGGAAAGGTTTATCAACATAGAAGATAAGAAAGCCGGAGCTCGCCGCAAGACCCTTAAACCAAGATGTGGAGAAGCTTTAATAAAACGTGCATCAAGAGCTATTTACTCGTTGTTGTTATCAATCAATTGAGGCAGGTCGTTATCATCAACATCCATAGGTGTGAGTTACCGATGTTGGTCATGTGTTGGTGTTATCATTTTCTCGTTTTCTAAAAAAATGTCTACCAAATCTCTTCTTCAATCGTCTAGTTATATCAAAATTCAAAAAATAAAACAATTTCCAATCAACAGTTACGATTCTTTGGCCTTTGCTCGTCCTCCATCCACTCATCAATCCAATCATGTAAACAAAAGATCAATGAATCGACTTTCCAAGATGTAAATCTTCTTATTTGTTGAATTATGACGATCATCAAGCTCAAGCCACACCATGCAGAGGAATTTACTGTGGCGTAGTGGCGACGCTCCATGTCTATGATGACATTGATCTTGGAAATGCTAGGTATCTCATGAATCAAAATAATTGAAAATCATTGTTGAAGTTGCTTCCTTATATGTGCATCATTATCATCAAATTGGTTCGTATGAACTTTCTAAGTCCTTTCAAATTTCCTACGCAGGTCAAAATATTCACCTACCTATTCCAATATCGCCGAAATCTTCATATAATCCCAACATCAGCAAACATGAGTTGGATGGATTCGTGGTCACGCCCCTCGAAACATTCCGCTGTTCCCCCACCTCTCTATTTAACGGCAGGAGAAAGCGTTCCTTACTGTCTAACATGTGGTCGAGTCATGAGTTAGCACCGTGATGAACATTCTTTAAGCTTTATCTAATATATCCAATAGGCACTAAAAAGGCTAGCAAAAAATCCAACAATGAGGTCAAATACTGTTCTGACAGGTGTCGGAACCGAAAGCCGGGGAAAATAGATAGAAAGATCGAGCAAGCCATTGTTGCATTGTTGGACGAGGAGAAAGACTCGGGTCTAGAGAAGACTGGCGCCAAGGATCGTTTTGTGAAAGGCGATCATCGGATCATTGTTACCTGTGATGAGATTGAAGAGATTGTATTTGGGAGTCGATTTGATCCCGAAAAAGTTTATGGGAGAAGGAAAAATCGTAAAAGTCGAGCAATTGGAGGATCGAATGCTGATGCAGAATGGAAAACTGTTGATATGGAAAGTAGTGAGGACTCCGCTAGCGATGATGCACCTCAGGAGCCTGTGAACACAAAAACCGGGCCAATGATACGCCCACCACAGACTGAATCAGATGTCAATTTCAGTGTTGGGGGCGAGAGAGGTAAAGCTGAGAGAACGGAGGAATCAGCTTCGGATTTACAGAAGAAAGTTGATGGCCAAAAACAAGCGGAAGAAAGAGAGATGGTTCGGAGGGCAGCTAGGAGGGCTGTTGTCTTTGGTTTCATCGTTGAACAGTCTCTCGAAAACAGTCCATCTCAAGCCTCTAAGGGCTCAAAGCATAAAAAAATGACAAGCTGGGAGGAGAATGTTGTAAAACAGCCCATCAGGCGCAAATGCGAGGCTTTGATGCAAGGCTCAGTAGTTGAGCCAAGCTACGCCAAGGGAAATTGGTCTATAAGATGGCGAGATTAGCTAGCTATCTCTTCCCATGAAGCTCACCGTGACTTCTATGCATTGAAGTAAGCACTTGCATAAGAGAGAGGAACCAGAAGAATCCATTAGATTATATTGGACCTTATATAAACAAATTTCGAACCATCGCAGATTCAACTTTTGCTTGACCATCGGGAGGCACATATTGGGGAGCAGCCAGAAAGCTCCCAATAGTCGCTACAACTCGGACTTTTTGCCTTGGAAATTATCAAAATGAGAGGAAGCAGGTAATAAGAGTTTGAACAGAAAACGTGGTTGTCGAGACTATCGAGACTATCGAGACTCAAAACAAGACGGTGTTAGAACCTGATTTTACGAATTCTACAGATTCTCTAAAGTTTGGGAGGTGTGCAATTGCGTAAGTCTCTAATTGTGCAAGGTCGGTTCGACTTTCCCCGGAATTACCTGTCATCTACTTGGGTGGCTTTTGTGACACATGCTCGCTTTCCTCTCGTCGCGTTCATCTTCTACTTGCGTAGTTTAGCAAAGGCAAAGTGTATCAGAGGCGCCACGAAGAATTCCATAAGACCGTTGAATATAATTGGCCGCTTCAACCTATGACTTCCTCCCATCAAAAACATGGAATGGGCCATTGAATGGTCGCAATTTACTAGCTTGCTTTTCAGACAATCAGCTTTCCGATATCACACCATATTGAAAGATGATAGGCCAATCGTGCGTTCTACGCTTCGAAGGAATGATGTGCAAGCCAAAAATCCGATTTCATCATCACCCGCATAAGTATATGCAGACTAATTCCATATCATCAACGCAACGGTTGCACTCGCGTATCTTCTACCCTGATCGTGATTGCTGACCTGTTCTTGGGACCCTGTCAGATTCCATGACTCGAGCCAAGTACTTTGTCTTTTAACTCATCCCATCCTATGATTACATCTTACCACTCTTCAAAATCTATTAAGTGGTGAACATTTCCACTGCAGAGGGCTCTACATCGAATCCGACTATAGCTATAATGTTTTCCACCGAAAATAGCAGTTTCGTTCTTATTACAATTTTTTTCTGCTCAATTGTTTCTAAGATTGCTTGGGAGCTTTTCTTTTCTCCGTTGAGGCATTTCCCAGGCCCGGTCGCTGCAAAGTTCACGAACATTTATCGTGCATTTACAGTGTACTTGGGTTCCATGGACAAAACGCAAAGGAAATGGCATCGTGATTATGGTGTAGCTGTCCGAATTGGCCCAAAAACCATTAGTCTTAGTGATCCCTCTTTGATTGGGACGATATATGCAACCAAAAATGCTTGGCTCAAGGTAGGTAAATAGAGCTTCAATGGCCACAATCTTCCAACTTTGGCACTGACAATTCTTTGCTAGAACGAAATGTACAAGCCCAATGATGCGCTTATTGAAGGGAAACGGATGTCAAATATTTTCAATTCTAGAGACCCTTTGTGGCATGAAAAATACGTCAAACCCATCAGGAGTCTTTGGTCCATGACAAAGGTTCTGGAAATAGAACCCTTGGTTGATGAAACTTTGGGGATATTCATCGATAAGCTAAGTGCAAATTTTGCGGATGAATCGAAGACATGCATGGTGGATGACTGGCTAGCGTACTGTATGTTTCATGCTGCCATAGAAGATTTCCAGTGCTGATCTGAAACTCCATCACAGTTGCTTGGGACGTGGTGGCAAACATCAGCTTTGGACGACCATTCGGGTTGATTGACCAAGAAAGGGATGTCGATAACATCCTTCTTGAATCCCAAAGGTCGCTTTACTACTTCGCCGTCGTCAGTCAGATTCCATGGATTGACCATTTTCTTGACAAGAACCCAATCGTTCGGATTGGTCCCAGGCCTACTGTAACGGGAATCTTGTATTGTTTTAAGGTTGTTGCTCAGTATCGAGAAGAGCTCTTATCGACGGGTCACAAGCACAAAAGCATCAACCACTACCTCGATAAATATTTCAAGCTCAAAGAAACGAACCCGAACCTAATTAATGACAACCAAATTGTAACATATCTAATACTCAGTATTCTTGCAGGCGGCGACACGACCGCATCAACCATGAGAGCTATTCTATACTACCTTTCCAAAAATGCATCCGCTTACACAAAACTGACCGACGAGCTAGACCATGCAAATCTCTCACTGCCAGCGCAATGGAAGGATGTACGTAATCTTCCTTACTTGAGTGCAGTGCTCCATGAGGCTATGCGCATTAATCCGGGTTCTGCTATGATGTTAGAGCGAGTTGTTCCCGATTCTGGATTTACTCTTCCCGACGGAAGATTTATTCCCGGTGGAACATCCGTGGGCATCAGCCCCGGAGTCTCGAATCGGGACCCTGAAACCTTCGGATCCGATGTCGATTCTTTTGATCCCGATCGCTGGCTGCAAATGAAGGGAGAGAGTCAAGAAGATTTTGAAACTCGTCACAAACAGATGGTGCAAACTGTCGATTTTATATTTGGTGGTGGTAGTCGAGTATGCATGGGGAAGTATTTTGTTCAGCTGGAATTGTGGAAAACGATGGCTACTCTATACAGTATTTTTGATGTGAGTTCAAGCTTTGTCCTTTGCGTATCAGACACCTCCAACATATTTCAAATTTCTATCGCATTTGATTGCTGAGACTTGTTTTACTGTCTAGATAAAACTCGAGGATCCCAATCATATCTGGAAATGTCATAACGCCTTCTTCACATACCAGTGGGATATTCCCATGAAGATATCCAGACGGACTCGTGCTCAAACTTAATCCAACGTGAGCAACTTAAGGTAATAGCTTGTGAAAGTAGATATAGAACAGCTAGTATGAATTATATTCGCCTTTGGAAGGCATACTCATTCTGTCCGGTTTAGATTCTTTTGCCTAATTTAGAGTACTCGAATGTTGTTCCTAAGCTAGATTCCTGAAATCGGTTAAAGGGTTGAGTTCACAGTTAGTCAGTCTATTTCAACGAAAGCGAAACTTGCTATTGCTCAAAATTCTCTTGCATCAAAATAGTATGGCTTTTTATCATTCTAAAATCGACTATTTCTCTTCATTTTGTGCAGTTTCCGACATTGCTTGAGTAGAGAGAACTCCTTTTACTACCTTTCAATGAAGACAGTATTCTATTTAGGATAATACAGAGAGACGGGCCATAGCAAATGTGCTCCATTTAAGCTCCTCGAAAGCCGTTGCTTGCGATCATGCGACGATATGATTGTCTTTAAGCATCATAATGTGGATTTTCACGCACTTCCACAGCACTTCCGGAGCACACCCATAACTCTCGCTTCAGACTCTATTTATGAGACCAAGGTCCATTGATAAGGGGATAAAGTTAAGAAAGACAGTACCAGCCCGTCTATCAAATCAAAGTATGCTGTAAAGTAGTTAAACACCTCTAATGAAAGAACTGAAGATATTCCCTTTTATCAAATGTCGCATTCTAGGTAGTTATTTATGCTGATCTCTTTTCACTTTCATAGCCTCACAAATAATCCATACGTGTCAATCCATCCATCCATCCATCAATCACTTGGGTAAAATTGACTCTCGTCTCATCTTCTATCCCCCTCACCCACCAAAAAAATGAAAGCTGTCTACTTCGACCCAAAATAAAGCAAAACAGCAAAATTTCAGCCTTTTAGGCTTAGTCTCCCAGTTATTCCAGTACTATATGGACCACTGTACCTAGTAACAATCTTCTTCCCATGTCGAAGCGGATACTATACCACTGCACCATGGGAGATGTGTTCGGATGCTAGAATTCATCTTGTTTGGGATTATGTATGTGCGGTGGATTTAGGATTCACTAGTTGGCCAGTGTGTATTGGTGATGATTTTTTGTAGTACGAGAAATATTTGCTCGATTCAACTCGGAGCTTCAACTCAATCATTGTCCTTGAACATTTATGCTCCACGTCGACACTCAAGAGTAGCATCTTTTGGCCGTATCGAGAACTGGATACAACAAGGAATTCAACGTCGAATGAGTTTGTACCCTCAACGAGATGATTTCTGGAAACGTTGTATGAAACCGATATTCCAAACTAAATTTTGAACTGAGGTTCCTGTACTACACAAAGGCGTAGCTGCTAATGAAGGCGAAGCTCTCGATGTTCAAAATTGGTTCCGTTTCAAGGATATAGGCAGCTGTTTGGACATACTCGGTGAGGATGGTCATGTAGTACAGTGATTTACAGCCCATTGTCTAACACTGAGAATAACATTTAGGTGGCTTGCAACGAAGAAAGGAAAATCAAAACGTAGTATGCACTTCATGACTGGGCGTATGATGATGAGTTGTTGAGGCTTGGTTGGATTATGACGCTAGTAACCCCTACCTGATTGTATCTACATAGTAAAGATATCGATTCAATGAATATATACATCACTGAAGTTTTGATACTTTACGTTGGTACGGAATACTGATAGTGCTGAGTAATTTAGATGGTTACAGGCCGACAATTGTGTTGTGCATAAGTCTGGTAATCTAATTCTAAGTGCTTCGAGTACTTGTACGTTTGAATGAAGCTCACAATGTTGATCAAAAGTCCTTTCGAATTTGTATTCTGGGTGGTAAGCAGAGAACTGGCAACGTTTTGGTAGACTAAAATGGGATCTTCCCAACGTTCTATTTAACTGGAGGGGTGGTTTGATTATGCCATCGAGAAATTAACCCTCATGGGTCTTGCTGTGTATTATGACAGACTAAAACATCGAATCTGTTGGTTGAAAGCCATATATTGAGAATTTAATCTCCTTTCCCAAAACCCTATAAAGTGTGCTTGAATTTTCTTAAAGTTTGAATGAACTTGGTTGCTACAGAAGTGACAGTTGATAGTATTCTGAGACGTATCAATCTACAGATCTGAATCCGGTTAACGAACCCGGTTAGTTCACGGATTTTGACTACGGTAGGGACTCCACCCGCACGGCTGATTATTGATTTGCTATCTTGAGGTTCACTGTTGATCTCGTTTCTAGATAGATCCAGTAGAAGATGCGCTATTGACTTTATATGCTTCATTGCACCTCTGGAAGTTTCCAGGGTCTTGTTCAAACTTATTAGTCCTAGAATATATAGCCCTCTTGCACTTACAAGTGAAGAACCAGAGTACATCTAGTACCGAAAATAAGCGAGACAAGCAGCTTTGACGATAGGAAATGTTAGCTCCTTTGGCGTGCTAGTCGAATGGTGGTATGGGCCTCAGAAATATCAACATCTTGAAATATAATAGTAAGCGAAGAAGGTATCTCGTGCTTGCACATTTAATGATAGATGCAGCAGACTGATTCAAAGACAGTTGACGACGCTTTTCTGGCGATCGAATTTCTTTTTAAATTCGAACCGGACTATATCACCATACCTACAACAACGCAGTGGCCGTTTCGAATCTCAAATTTGATTGACGTTAGTTTTCTATGTAGGTCAAAATGATGAGAGACAATGAGCAGACCCTCAGCTCACTTACCTCTGTACGTTTCGCATCCTCTCGATATTTTGCCATGAGATACCTTTATTGGCCTATGATAATGACGAATAAAGGACATTTGACAATCACAAATCCAGAAAGATTATATGACCAATTCACAAGATTTTTTCCAGGCAATAGCCTGGCATGATATCCGCTGTGTGTTCTATTAGCTATGAGAAAGAGGATGTCTGTCCATGACTTTTCATCACATAATCTATTTAGAACTCAGCTTTCATCTTAACCCCAGCTATGAATCCGAGATTTTTCTCCAGAACCCGGGAATCGAATCGAAGAATGTATGTTTAGACTTTTAGGAGGCTGGTTCATCCAAAGCTAATTTAATTTTTACCGAATGCTCCTAACCTGACAGGCCTCAGGTTTTTTTACTGAACGGATATGGATATGAAGATGTAATGTGAGCTTCCATGGCCAGGTTTCTTGATCGATCGTGCCATCACGCATTTTAAGGGGCCTCGAGTAAGCGAAGAAGCAGCAGAAACTCGCTCTCAATATCACCTACTCAAGCAAACCATAGATTCGTATTCAAATAGATACTCAAATATCAAAAGATCGGACACAATTTGAACCTCCTTTGTACTCACGACTAAAATTATCAAAATTGAATAACATCACGAGGAGTTTGAGTTGTCAAAAAATTCTTCTAATGGAGTGTAGAATTCGAATTCTTTCCATTCTCGCTTGTGGATTAGGATATGAGATAAATTTTGCTAATATATTGTGTGTTCGGGGGGTTTCATGAGCATCCATCAACTATCAACTCATTTTTTCTAACGTATCACTGTTCAGTTTGACATGTTTTTATTCGAAATCAGGAAATTGAGATGAACTTTTACGTGTCTTTGGAAATTGATATGCAGGCACAGAAAGCGTTAGAGACGAATCAGTATTTGCAATCCATTTCAACACTTCGACCTTTCCTTCCCTCAGCCATCACGGCGCTTTCTCGCGCTCACAACTGCAAACCCAGGATTCTCCAAGAACATCCCCCAATACTCGCGATCCTTTTTAACAACCTCAGTATCCTCAGGGCGTTCCGTTCTGATATCCTCAAGCCCGAAGGCTTCGTGCATCTTTGTGGAGCCCGAGTAACTAACTTCCATCAACGTTGCCTCAAACTCGAGTGGTGATTCCAATTCGAGCATGTATCGCATCTTCACTCCTCCAGGGATATCTTCTATATCTTTGTACCTGAGGCCATATTTGCCAGTGGTAGGAACGACCCCCCTAGGGTCGCCACTCCTGACACCCACAAACCGTCCACCGGGCTTTAGATTTGCTACTACATTGGCCCACATCTGCTCAAGGGCTTTCTCGCTGGGCGCGTGGTCAAAAAGCCAATTCGCCATAACGAGATCATATTGGCGGCCCTCGAGAAGATTGCCAAGTGGCTGAGTCAGATCGGCTTCGAGCCACTTGATCTTATCACGACCAAGCGATGCTTCAATCTCCTGCCCGGCTCGTAACATTCCGGGGGTTATATCTATGAGGTCGACAGACTCTGCTCCAGCATCAAGAACTTGGCGTGCTCTGAGTCCAGAGCCACCGCCTAGATCCAATACCTTGAGTCCGGTACAGTCCCCGAGTGCTGCAGCCAAAAGCTGTGTTTCTAAGATGCCTGATGGAAGTGAAGCAATGTCATCATAGCCGTGTGCCTGGCTATTGTACTCTGCTTTGAGTGTCTGGTAGTCTGACATGATTGTGAAGCTGATTGAAGTTGAGAATGAATTTAGAAGTTGAGTTTGACCATGAAAACAGCTTAAACATGGCTACCAAGGGCTTGATATATCAAGTATGGTTACAATGATGCGTGCGTTGTCAGTTGGTGCAATTATCCGGTGGGATTGAAAATCTTTAGCCAACCGACACCTTGTGTTTAATGACATGAAATCTAACCAATTTGGTTCGCTGGAGTATTCGTCGTCGGGTGCCTCAGCGTATGTATTGAGTAATGCGCTATGCAAAAATCGAAAAGGGTGTCGAAAATCAAACCTGATCGGTTCTAGCGGGGTGAGCTTCGTGGGGGAGCTCGCATTCTCAGCAGCTGATTCCTTTCTCTTGTTCCTTTTGCAGAAGATTATATCCCCCCTCCCCCTCCCCCTGCCTACGACATCGATTCCATGGACGGCTGTAAGACATCCTTCCATCGGAGGATGTTTCCGATAAGCTGCTTCCTTCATTGAAACTAATATTTTATCGGGATCATTCCTTAAGTAAGTATCTGGTAATCACAGATGTCGAATTATACTATATATGCCATCCCACCACGTCGTCAAATTTAGAGTGTGACCATAGATCTCCTTTGGTGCCCACCTGTCTCCCTGTGAACGTCTCATAGCCATGATTTCGGCGAGTGTTGACGTACCAGAATTTCAAATAGTATTTTACTTTCTGATTGCGATCTTGAATCTGTCTTATGATATCAACGATGGACGGGGTCAAGAAGGCTACTGCTGAGGAGAGTGCCGTCCTTCAGGTTGCTATTCGTTACCATCTTTGCTTACTCAGCGTTATTTGTTACACGACAAACCAAACTTCATTCCACACAAATATGCATTACAGCAATCTGATCCATAAACGGCTTGATACATGGAAGAGGTGACATATAATAACACATTGTGTATGCGTTTTCTATCTATTGTAGATAAGTGAGTCTTGACTCGAGCTCCTCACAAATGAAACCTACCCCTCAGTAGGCAAGATTAGCGCAATTTGTAGTAGCTTTCAAGCGAAAGTCTCTTTCTTTCCTTCCCGTTTTGTTCTATAATCGGAGCAACATGTGATCTTCATCTTCGTATGAAGTAAAGCCAGCCAAGGGCGGTGAAAACTAGATATCTTTACAACAGCTCAAAGTGCGTTTATTGGTTCGCTTTTCCCCGCGCCCTTTCTTCGATGTTCAAACCCCTCACTTCCGTCAATTTACGATCCACTCTTATCTCTGTCCATGTACTCCACGAATTAGCCTCTTCCTAACATCAAAAGTACCCTCGCACCTGTCTGCTCTTTTCTGAACTGCTCCTAGAATTCTCATTCATCCGTAAACCAATCCTCATTAAAGAATGGCAGCCTCAGAAGCAGTTCCTCCAGCCAATGTTAAATCCGTGGGCCATCTTACCTCCTCCCATCTTGCTAGCATTCCAGATCCACCAAAGGCCAAAGATCTGAATGCGTCACATATCCTCATCACAAAAACTACCTCTCCAAGACCTGTTCCCGAACCTGACAGTAAAGAAGTATGGGCTTCAAAAAATTGCACTGATCACATGATTACTGTGCGATGGACCGCAGACGAAGGATGGCAGACCCCTGAGATCAAACCCGTAAGCTTGTACGTTCTTTTTGTTCCTATCCTTCCCGAGTATCTCTACGGGCACGGGGTAATACTGATGTGGAAATAGTATGGGCCGCTGACAATGATGCCCACAGCATCCTGCCTTCACTATGCAACTCAATGTTTCGAAGGCATGAAAGTCTATCGTGGATTCGATGGGAAACTCCGACTCTTCAGACCAGACAGGAACTCAAAACGACTGTTAATGTCTGCTCAGCGAGTGGTACTTCCAGCTTTCGATCCCGTAGAATTGGAGAAGTTACTCTTGGCTTTTATGGCGGTCGACGGTCCTCGTGAGTGTTGATTCTGGCTTCATTCAATATCCGACTCAGTGGGACAAGATGCTGATATGTTTTAGGTTGGCTACCCAAATCTCGACCGGGAACATTTCTCTATGTTCGCCCTGCTATTATTGGGGACGGAGAAGAACTTGGAGTTACTTCTCCCTCTGAAGCTTTACTATTTGTCATAGCTGTTCCATGGCCAGACCTATCAGGTACTCCTCCGGGGGCACAGCCTAAGCCTCCGGGACTCAGGTTACTTGCTTCGTAAGTCACATCTTGAGCTACTTTATTACTAAACAGCTTGATGTAACTGTTGGAGTATGATGACTAGGCTTTTACTGACAACTTTATAGTAAAGAGGACACTCGCGCTTGGCCTGGAGGCTTTGGATATGCTAAAGTGGGAGCGAATTACGGCCCAGCGTTTGTAGCTCATGTAAGTTTGCTTGGCCATTTATCCTTATTGGAAGTATCTTCATCTTCAAGTGCATATTTTACCTTGGGGCCCAAGATTAGTATTTTGTCTTGTGCCCCTTCGTTTTATGTCGCCTTGCTGTTCGCTTAGAGCTTCATGGGATACTTAATTTGCACCCGGAGCACTCAATTGTTCCCATTGTTCCCATTGTTCCAAAACTTTGATTGTCAAGGCTTTCACTTCTCATTTGATTGTACAGCATTGGCTATCTCTCTTACCTATCTCTGTGCTGAGTTACGAGGAAAGATACCTTGTGCAGGTTTAAGCTAATCACATCTTTAGATGGCGGGTCGCAAGCTCGGTTATGATCAAATCCTTTGGCTCTTCGGTCCCGATTACCAAGTTACTGAAGCCGGAGCCAGTAACTTCTTCCTCGTTGTACGTATCCTTGCCACGAAACATAGATTCACATCATCACATCACCCTTTCCTTTACATCGCATCCATTGCCCATCCTTCTCTGATATTATACTCTAACAACCCATCAGCTCCGCGACCCCAAATCCCAAGCCCTCCAGCTCCTCACCGCCCCTCTAACCGAAAAACTAATCCTCGATGGCGTCACTCGCCGAAGCGTCCTCGATCTCGCTAACGAACGCCTATCCTCATCTTCTAAATCTCTACCTTCTGGTATCAAACCGCTAGAAATTGTAGAAAGGACATATACTATGTTAGAAGTAGAGGAGGCACACAAGGAAGGAAGAATCGTCGAGGCTTTCTTGAGCGGAACTGCTGTAAGCTTACCCCTCGTCCCTCCCCTTCTCATTTCCACGCGCTCACAAGCCCAACACAAACGGGAATAAATGCACCCATCATCTTTCATCCTTTCGCATCTGTATCTCCAATCTCTTCGTCCTTTCCGGCTCGCAAGAACTAATCTCCCACTCCCATTAAATAGTATTTCATAACCCCGGTGTCCGCCATATCATTCCGAAATCGCAATATCGAGATCCCTATGCAAAACGCAGCTGGCGATAGTGGCGTTTATGCACAGATGATCAAAACTTGGCTGTACGGTATTATGTATGGGAATGTAGAACATGAATGGGGTGTTGTGGTTGACGAGGATGAATGATCATCATGTTACATGGACACACTGAATATCGACAACTACTTAGCTGGCCTAGAAAATTATTATGGTTATAGACGGAAGTGATATAGAGGTGAAAGGGATTAAAGGGAGATGGAAGGGCTGGACGACGTGATAGAAGCTTAAGCTATACGATTTATAGATTGATAGATAGATGTCTCACAGCTAGATATTAATGCCCAAAAAAATCCATATCAAAAAAGTCAAATATTCATTCGAATTATTTTGTGCGCCTAAAATACAAATTGTAGCTCCCTAGGTTGCATTTCACTCAACTTTCAACCATAAACTCCCAGTCCATTCACAATAACTCAAGGGTAATTGTGCAGTACTTGAAAATATAGCAAAATGCATGCAAATACGGAGGGTTTTCATCCCACGTTGGTTGAGAAGTTCCTCGTCAACTAGTTCTTCTTCCTATTTCCCGCAGCTTTCATTATTTCGTCCCTTCCTATTTACGATTGGCTCCTGGTTGAGCGTTTGTTGACCTCTGCCTTAACAGCATCAGTTCCTGATGCGACGGCCTCAGAGACCTTGTCTTTGGCATCGGCAGCAGCATCCTTGGCCTTAGCGGCTGCTTTCTTGACTTGTGGTGGAGGAGTGGATCCGCTCATGCTAACGATACCGACAATGATGGCAATGAGTGTAACAAAGACGGCACCGATACCGGCAGCAGCCTCAGGGACGAACTTGATAGCCTGGATGGGGTCATTTTGAGCGATGGTGAGGAACAAGTCGAGCTTCTCTTTAATGTAATGAACTGGGTCATCAGCGAAGACAAGGTCGGATGGAGACTTTGGCTTATCCTCAGGCTTTGGAACGGACTCGAGTTCAATCAGTTGTTCGATGGGGTGCTTCTCGTTGAAGGTCTCATCAGCGAACTTAGCGGCATCCTCAACAGAGTGACCAATGTAAATGTTATCGAAGAGAATGTCGCTTTGCATAGTCCAGATTTCGAAACCGATCTATGATGATGTTAGTGTTATGATTCAAAACGAAAAGACGAGTTACTTACAGCTCCCATTGGCTCGAGGTTGGATGGGGTCTTATCTTCATAGTAGTCTGGGTTCTTGATCTTGCGTGGAGCCCAGACACCCTTGTAGGCTGGGTTGTCAATGTAAGGTGCGGTCCACTTGCCCTTGTAAGCTGGGTTCTTGATCATTGGCTTCTCCCATTTACCACATCCAGAAACATCATCACACTTTGGGTTTGGTACAGTTGGGGCGATCCAGTCCCCATCCTCCTCCTCATCCCAATCCTCTGGCTTTTGCGCCTCTGGGTCTGGGATGCTGAGAGGCTCATCCTCCAACCAATCCTCAGGCTTGGTAGCTTCCTCATCGACGATTTCGAATGGTGCATCCTCATCCCAGTCTTCGGGCTTCTTAGCTTCTGGGTCTGCGATACGGGCCTCGTCAACCCAAGTATCTGGCTTGGAGTCCTTAGCATCATCAATCTCCTTGGGTGGGTTGAATGCTGGAACGAAGTCGTCGGAGAGAAGGTTAACCTCCTTAACTTGCTC